TTTCCATTTCCATTCTCATTCTCATTCCCCTGTTCCCTTTCCCCTTCCTATTCAATAAAGTCCACGGAAAATTAATCATTTTCCCCGGCAAAGGTTTTCCGCTGGCATGCATGTAACCGTATTTTCCAGCTGCTGTGGATGCTTGTGTGTAATCTGTGCCATTTACCACAGCTGCATTTCGCTTTTCTCCAACTTTTCCTGCCGATTTCCCGCAGCTTTTCACTGCGGGGCATTCGAGTGTGGGTGGGGAGGGTCGCAGAAAAGTAGTGGGCGAAAAATAAGGAAAAACGATGAAAGCGCAGCGCATGCGTCATATTGATTTTACATCCGCCTGGCCATGCCGAATTGCCGTTTCCGGCTCGCAACTTCAAAGGGAAGCCTCCAATTTGCCAAAATGCAATATCCTGGCGCAAGGACTCGCCCAGGCTTTCCTTTAATGTCCCTTAACTTGCGGCATTTAGCAGGACATTGCGCATACGACCCGTGTTTCCAAATCGAATTATTCGCAGGCAACTTAATTACCAAAAGGAATCAATTGGCCTTTTTTTCAAATTCTATTGAAAATTTGGAAAAGACTTAAGCAAGGGTAGGGCCTGATTAAAAGCTGAGAAACCTACAAATATATGTATATTCCGAAGAATTATAAGGGAACAACGGAATGCCATTTCACTTGTCCGTGGAAATTGCAAACAATTGCGAATTTAATTGACGCTGGGAAAGAAAAGAAAAGTCGAAGGCTATGGCCATAAGCCCTAAAGGAGCTCAGCACATCGGTCAGGGAAAATGGCAAATTCCATACAAAAAAATATAAACAACAATGGGGAAAACCTAGAAGAAAAGCTGGAAAATAAATCCAGGGGGAGAAAGACGCTGCGTGGAAACGGGAAAATAACTCTTTTCAAATTGAATTTCTTGCCGCTGAAAGCCTTAATTTTCTTGGACGTCCTCGCGTTTTTGTTCAACGCAAAAGTTCTAATACAATCTTGCTCTCTTGTCCTTTACTTCAATGCAGTTTTCCTTCAGTTACTTCAGTTTCCTTTTAGCTTTCCTTCAGCTTTTCCCTGTTTTTCAAGTGGGCGTGGCCCTGGCAGTGCGTTTTAAATTTCACAGAAAACCGCAAAGGGAAAAGCCATCTCAAGAATCTTCTCTCTTTCTTTCTTTTATTTTTTTTGTCCCTGTATGAATAGTGTGAGTTGAATGAAAGAATTTCACTCAATTTTCCTCAATGGAAGCAACAGAGTGTAAAAGGGGAGAATCCAATTTCTTATGGGAAGCTCAGGCACACGAACGCACAGGGAAACTACGCAGGCAGCTCAAAAGTATGCTATAGAAATATAGTTATACCAGGAGATTCGCATAAAGTTGGTTTCTGTTTGGAAAAGAATGAAAAAGATTCTCTAGTTTCAAGGAACTGAATGTAATTGTAAGGGAAACCTCTTAAATGTACAATTATATTATTTATTTATTACATTTTATGTTGTATCCCTTTAATATTTATTCTTATGGGAAACCATCTCAAAAGTATGCTATAAAAGTATAGTTATAAAGTTGATTTTAATTAGGGAAACAATTCTTCCTTTGTTTTCAAAGATCCGAATTCAATTGTTAGGGAAAATACTTAAATATTTATTTATATTATTTATGTATTAATTTTTATGTTGTATCTTTTGATGAATTGTATCTTTCCCCCTTAAAATATTTATTCGTTTGATTCAATTTCTTATCGCAGCAACTTTTCATTAAGAGTTCCTGATCCATAATAATCCCTGGAACTTATCTTAAAGCTGCTTTCGGCCTGCTGAAGTCAGTCAGCTGAGAGACATCCTCTGAAGGGTGGATGGGGATATATGAAAGCGGTTTCAGATGAGCATGAGGATGCTGTTAGAGAGTGGCGCCATAGTAGCCGCAGTAGTAGTGCCCTGGGGGTGGCAATGGTTGGGTTGCTGGTGCCTGGTGGCTCATGGGCAGTTCCATCTGCTCGAGGGTGGCTCCTGGGCAAGGAAAGTGCCAAAGTTCTGGCAGCATTTACATATTCTATATGCCATCATATATATGATGCCATACATGCTGTGTGCTATTTGTTATGTGCTCACAGGACGATAAGCACAGTCAGGCAGACAGACGGCTGCATTTTCTATTATGTATTCGTATAAAATATGGATGCTGCAATATATGCATTGTCAGTTGCCGGTTTGTGATATAATCCAGGCTGCACACTCTGCCAGCTCTGACAAAATCCGATTTATTTAAACTTAATGTCATCGCAAACAGCGAATGTCCTTTCACTCCCAGTTAGTTGAATCCCTTCTTCCCCGCCCCCCCCGAAAAACTCTGAACATTTCGCCAGTATTGCATTTAAATAATAGATTTCCTCTTTTTTGTCTTTCGATTTCCACTTTGAATGGCAAACTGACATTTGACATTTATCAGCTAATCCCAGTGATTGTGTTGCATTGTTAGCATCAGGATCAGGACTAACAGTAACATTTACTTTTATTTAATTGTTATTTATTTAGTCAAGTTGAAAAGCCACCATCAAGAAAGAGAGACATCAATCAAAATACGCCTAAATGCCAGCGATTTTCTCGATTAATTTGTGCCAATTTAAAAATCGATAAAACTGCCAGAAAATCGGTGCATTGCGTTGCCTTGCGACGCAACCATATAATGTGATTGAATGCTCCATCCTCGTCATCGTCCTGTAAATGCAATCTACCAGACAGCAGGGGAGCGGGGTGGAGTGGAGTGATTGATTGAAGGGCGGTGGGGCGGTGGGAGGTACAATAATCGTCAATGAAACAACAATGCAATCAGCGAACACAATTAATGCACAAATTGCTTGCCGAAGAGCGATGTGTGTGCGCTGTGCGAGGACAATGAGGAGGACTACCGCCACAAAATGGGTGAAAAAGCTATTGAGCATTTTCCGTATATCACAATTTTCGCCATTTTTGCAATTTCAATTTTAACGTTCGCCATTGTAAACGTGAAGAAAATTGGATAATTGCAATTTGCAAAATGGCCAAACGTGTTTTTGTGACAAATGTTTTATGGCAACGACTTAAATTAAAGCAATTGAAGCGGCATTTTTCTTATGATATATCTGTGATTTTGTAAGGTGAAAATAATGTTTAAAAAAATTTATAAATTATACCCATACAAAAAATGTATAAATTGATAAATTATATAACGCCCAGTGTCATAACTCTTTTAAAACCTTTGACACTTTCAGCAGTGGGTGTTACGACACTATCAAAGTGTTGAAGTTGGATCAAAATGAAGCAGCATTTTCATTTTGATATTTCTGTAATTTTGTAAAGTAAAAATTGAATTTTAAAAAATTTAAATAAATCATAACCATTAAATAAAAAAAATATAAAAATATTTAACAATAACATAAAATAAAAATAGAAAAAAATTATAAAATTAAACCAAAATATAAAATAAAAATAAATTATAGCCATAAAATAAAAATATATATAAATTATATAACGCCCAGTGTCATAACTCCCTTCTATCCTTTGACACTTTCAGCAGCGGGTGTTATGACACTATCAAAGTGTGGAAGTTGGATCAAAATAAAGCAGGATTTTCATTTTAATATTTCTGTAAGTTTTTAAAGTAAAAATTGAATTTTAAGAAATTTAAAGAAATTTAAAAAGTACAAACTAGCAGCTTACATCTAATAACGCCCAGTGTCATAACTCCCTTTAAACTTTTGACACTGTGGGAGTTAGGTGTTATGACACTAACAAAGTATTGAAGTTAAATCAGTTGGATTCCATAAGATCTTTACATTTTTAAGCATACAAAATGACAAGATATTTGTTTTATATAATAAAATATCCTTATACCAATCTAGGCTACAGTTTTCTTTTAAGATTTCAGGGGATTTTAGAGATTTAAAGATACCACTTACCTTATAAGTCGTTGTCCTTAACTGATATTTTCGGGTTTTATAAAATATCACTTTACAGCTGATCTCTGTTCGATCTTGTTTTGTCCTTTCGCTTTTCCCCCCAATCTCCGCTTTTGCACTTTTCCTTATCCGGTTCTTTTTCCTTCTCTCCCGTTCTTAGAATAAATTCTTGTAGCTCGACGTTTGCTTGGTTTTTGTTTTCAGTTTATTTAATTTTTGTTAATTTATAGATTTGGCAAATATTATTTTGTTAACCGACTCGCTTGCGGGGATTTTTTTGCTCTAAAAAATATTTCGTCGTATCTTGAAATCGTTGGAAGTCCGTTTTTCTTGTTTTTTTTTTTTTTTTTTTTTTTTTAGTTTTGTTCTTGTATAAATATTTATTTCTTTAAGAAATTCAAGTCTTTATTTTAATATTACTTTTGTTTAACTTCTTTTCATTTTTTTGTGTAAATATGTGTATATAGTTTATTTGCGACAAAAAACACTTGCATATGGTATGTTTTTATATTTTTTATTTTATTTTTTAGGGTTTGGTGTTGATGATTTCGAATTTGGAGCCTTCGATGCGCACTGCGCCCTTTCCCAAAACTCTATAAATTCAGTATAAAACCTTGCGGAATATATATATATTTTTGTATATATATATATGCTGTAGATTGATTGGCTAGACACTCACCGACAAAGGTATTCAAATGATTTATTTCCGACTATTTATTTTATATATATATATTATATATTTTATATATATGTAAGTATGTTTCTAGCTAGAGCACATTTACATTTACCCGAAAAAAAAAACAAATATTTGTCCGTATGAAATCAATGAATTACTATATTTTTTTGTTAGTATTGGTATAGTATTATCCTTTATTATAAACTGCGTTGCGTTTCGGTTGGTGTGGGATTGCTTTTCCTTGACGAATTTTGGTCTTTTCTCTTCGGTTGAACAACACAGGAATTAAATATTGGAAAAGTTCGATGAGAGTTGAATGCAAACTTGTTATTTTCGAATTCGTTTCGAGAGTTTGGTTAATTTTGGCTTTAACTTGATTGCTGCCAGCAGACTTTTTCTGTTTTATTTTTAATATTTTTTAAAACGCTTCAACTGGGCTGGAATACAAAACAGAAAGGTAGAAGTAGGAGAAGACTTAAGATATGGTAAAGGTAAGGAGTAATTAGGTCGATGCCACACCCATTCCACATATACATACTAAAGGATACACTGCAAGAACAGGTATTACTCTTTATTATATATATTACAAGATTTTTGTTGGTCAAGTTCTATTAGTTAGGAAATGAAAATTATACTAAATATAATTTTTATATATTTAAAATATTTCAATTAAGTAAAAAGAAATTTTATAAAGAAAACTCATATCTTACAGTGCATCAATGGTTGTTTCTTAACCCTTTTACTCACGTTTCTTAGGCAAAGCTGTGTCCTTAGAGTGAACCTGACCTCGCCAATGGAACAGGGATATACATATGTATGGCTTTCGACCGATCTCACTCACACACACACTGACTCACTCACTCACTCACTAGTACAAAAAATATATAAAAAAGATTAAGAAGGACGTACTGCTGGCTGGCTGGCTGGCTGGCTGGCTGGCTGACTGACTGAAGGAAAAGACAGCGGTTCCCCAGGATCCTTTCCTTGCCTTGCCTTCGTTGCGGGTCTTCCTCAGCACCGATCTTGAAAATGTTTGCCTAATTTGTTGTCTTGATTGATTTGTTTGTTTGCTTTAGTTTTTTTATTGATTTTTTGTTTGTATGTTTTAGTAGTAGTTTTGGCCTTTTGAACTACGAAAACAAGGAGAAATCATATAGCGACGCAAATGATAAATCATATGAGTAGAATAATACGAAAACGCGCTTAAAAAAGAACCGCGTTTGCTGGATGCGCCGAAGACTGCTTGACTCGTACTGAATTTCCCTTGAAAACACTGAGAGAGTGAGTGAGAGAGCGAGGCGCTTTTCCGCAGTAGCAGCAGAGCCGACAGCGACTGCACAATTTCCACGGAAATCCCAGCAGCAGCAACAACAATCACAGGCGGCTCCTAGAAAAGCTTTCGGGACGAAGCTTTGCCGCCTCGCCTCTCGATTTTCCGGCTCCAAACTCTCCAAAAAACCAACGCTCTCTCCAATCATTTGGAACTGCATTTTCCAGAGCAATGGGGCGGGCTAGGAGGTGGGAATGTATGCCACTAGATTGGCGCTTATATCCCATGTAATCTGTGTAATTTCAGCTGTTTGCAACTGCAACAAAAAATCTATGTATAAAAATAGAAATAGAAACAGGAGTTGTTCAGGGACACTTGGAAAATTTCGATTTTTTTTCAATGTATAAAAAGAATTAAGATTAACAACATTTTTTTTAAGTTTTAAATTCAATTTTAATCTTACAAGATATTTATTTGTATTAAGTTTCCTTTTAACAAATTGATTTAAAAGTATATAACACAAGCTTTAAATATTTTAATGACACTTAAAAATATTTATTCTGTACAAATAAAAATTAAATAATTTTAAAAATAATTTTTATTTTCTTAAAGTTAAGTTTCGTTTACTTTTTAAACTAAATAAGGTTTTTTGGGGGAACATAGTATATATATTTCTTTATATAAAAGGAAGCCAGGCTAGGAGTGAAAAGCGCTGAAAATGAAGCAGAACCGGCGACAAAAGCGATTTGAAAATGTGCAAATATTGGCATTGAGCTTCGGTGCACTCGCATTTGGAATTAATTGAAAGACTTTGTCTCAGCTGCCGGCAAACAGGATGCAGGCTGCAGGACGAATATTTGAACAGCAATTCATGTTCAACTGAGGACTCAATTTGCCCAAATAGAATCTAATCAAATATTAATATTCACCAATGAATTTATAATGGGCTGCGGTGCAATTTCATCACAAAAAAACAATCAACTGTCTCGCCGAAAATGAAATGAAAATCTGTTGAATATTTAACAAAAAATGTTAATTAGTTTAGAGCAGCTTAAATAATTTTTTATTAATGATTACTTTATACAAAAATTCTACAATTTTATTTATTTAATAAATTATATAGGTTTTTTAATATCAAAAATCCTAATGAACCTCCTAGGAAAATCCTTCGCTTTTAACATTTATAATTTTTTTATTTAATAAATTATATATGTGTTTTTTAAATTGAAAATCCTTATGTACGACCAACGAAAATTCTTGCCTTTTAAAATTTATAATTTTAATTATTTATTAAATTATATAATATATGTGTTTATTTTATTTTAAAAATTCGAATAAACACCAAAAGGAAATTGTTGCCTATTAAAATTTATTTAATTTTATTTAATAAATAATATATATGTGTTTTAATATTAAAAATCCTAATGAAGGAAATCCTTCCGTTTTAAAATTTATAATAATTTAATATATCAACACAATTTTATTAACTGTAGAATAAACTATATATTCTTATAGTCCAAGGCCTTAAATAACAGCATCAAATCTCGATTATAAATATATATATATATATAAATATATAAATATTATCTATTATATAGACCAATGTGGTTATGACTGAAAGTTTAAGCTGCTCTTAGTTGCTAGCCAAAAAGAGGCTGCAAATTGGCATTGTAAAAGCTATATTATTTTTTACCTATACCTAATATTTATGTTTGTAAATCCCCCAAAAACTACACTGCCTGCATCCCCGGACAATCCTCTGTCATTATTTCACTAAATGTTAAGAGCCCCCTTGAAGTCAATTGCAATTAGTTAGCTTACTTAACATTAGGGTCAACCGGGGGCCGTCAGCTTTTCAACAATTTCAATTAATTAAAATAAATAATGAAATTATGTGTACAGCCGCAGAGAACCCACTTCCACATCCACTCCCACAGCCATTCCCGTGATTATCTAAGCCAAATCCCGAACTGGATACACATTGCAATGGCGCATACATATAGTCACAGCTGCGATGATATATCGTCAGGATGTGGGATGTGCAGTTGCTCCACACACAAATAAAAATCCAAGAAGAAAAGCTCTCACTGCGATGGGGAAAAGCTCGCGTAGGGGCGCTGTCCCAATTGGAGAACATTTTCCGGGCTTTGTAGACTTGGGCAAGCCAGTTGGAGTTGTTGTTTTTCCTGCATTTTGGGCGGCGCTATTCGAAATTGTGTCAAACTGGGCGCCGAACACGCCCCGAAAGCACGGAGACCGGCCGGCGAGCTCTGGACCATAAGAGATGGCCATCGAGAAGCTTCTTCTAGGACATGAAATCCTGGAGACTGAGATAGGAAACAACAGGAATTGACTTAAAGACGGCGACTAGTGCCTGACTTAAAGACAAAGAACATTTATTTTTGGAAAGAATTCGTAGAATTTGAATATCAGGGACATGTACTTCTAAGAAAAGGCTTTATTATAGTGTAAAAATCTAAAATTTCGGGATTATATAAAAAAGAAATGTTGTAACACTTTTAAAGCCAAACTGCAGGCCACAGTTTTTGCAAAGAAAGAAACTATTTACTCGACCAATTTTTGGGGTAAAACCCCCTAAGGCGTTTCAATTATTAATAGCTGGTATTTTTCAGGATGTACCAGGGGTTCCTAATGGGTAAATACAAGAGGGAGAGTGTGGGGAGTGGAAGTGGGAGAGGATGGGACACTTGCAAGCTCTGTCACGTAGTCGGGCAACTCGTACGCAAAAGTTGTGCCAAGTTCTCGAGTCAACATCGGACTTGCACACACACACAGAGCTACTTAATTGAGTGCTGGGAGCAGGAGGCACATCCTGCCGAGTGTGTGTGCGGCCCCAGGATATCCACAAAATAGATGGAAATAAGGAAAAGGACGACCGGAGAGCGCAAGGATTGCAGAATTAACCCAATAACAAGTGTCGGTAACAAGGATTTTCAGTAAACAAAAAAAAAGAAAGAAAACAACGAGAGAAAGAGAAAAAACTATTAAGCCTTAAACCCGGCTCCTGCGTTAAGGCTCTTACCCTAAGCTCACTTAAGCCCAACACAAACAAAACAAATCGATAATAGTTAATGCAGGATACGCCACATCCTTGGCTGATCAAAAAATCATATGACACGTAGCACAGCCATTTCTCAGGCACACAAACGCACAAGTACTTAGTGTTTATTTATATATTAAATTTCAAGCAAAATATGGGATTTTTTTTACTCTTCCAGGGTATAATAATTTTAGTCAGAACTTTGGCCCAGCGAAGCTTCCTTTCTTGCTTATATAAAGATATGGTTTTTCTTAAAATCTTTGAAAAATTTTAATAACTTTTCCAGCGAAGCTACACTTTTCCAAGGGTCTTTCAGAAGGGTTGAGATGCACAGGTTACAGGTGACAGGTGAACACGAGGGGAGCCCGCCTCCTCTCTGACTGACTAAGAATGGAACGGCAGAGGTGTCTCTATTTATAGGTAGCTAAAGAGAGAGATAGAGAGGTTGATCAGAAGAAAGAAACAGAAAGGTTGATCGAGTGAAAAACATAGCGAGAGTTAGAGCTAGAGAGAGAGTGGTTGATCTCTCTCTACCTCTCTCTCTCTCTATAGAGATCTCTCTACATCTCTCTCTCTATAGAGATCTCTTTACCTCTCTCTCTCTATAGAGATCTCTCTACCTCTCTCTCTGTATAGAGATCTCTTTATCTCTCTCTCTTTCTCTATAGAGATCTCTCTACATCTCTCTCTCTTTATAGAGATCTCTCTACATCTCTCTCTCTCTTTATAGAGATCTCTTTACCTCTCTCTCTATAGAGATCTCTCTACCTCTCTCTCTCTCTATAAAGATCTCTCTACCTCTCTCTCTCTCTCTATAGGGATCTCTTTACCGCTCTCTCTCTCTATAGAGAACTCTCTACCTGTCTCTCTCTCTCTCCCTCTCTCTCTCTCTCTCTCTAGCTACCTATAAATAGAGGCACCTCTGCCGCCGCAGCCTCAGTCAGTCCCCTCGTGTTCACCTGTCATGTGTGTATCTCAACCCATCTGAATGACACCTGAAAAAGTATTGTTTCGCTGGATATCTGCAAGTTCATAATATAATTGTCCCAAACGGGTTAAGAACCTTAGCTTAAAACCAAAAAAAGCTAACTTCGGAAACAGATCGCTCATTGATTCCTTGATCAATTTGATTGATAAAATCAAAACACGATTTACAATACATCAGGTTATATTTGTGAGTTTTGGGGTAACTTCCATTTGGAGCTAAGCTCCGTTTATATATGCTATATTTTATATGTTATACATATATTTGTATATTATAATTATAATTCAGTTTTTATGTCATCTATTCTTATTCAATACATATAGTAACATATTAATGGAGGGTCGATACTTATTGATTCAATTGCAAACAGCTAGGGTATACAAACTTCGGCGTGCCGAACTTGGCATATTTTCAATGATTTTATCCTATATTTAAAACTGAAACCAGACATAAATAGTCAATGTTTTCATAGACACAGCAAACATTTCATTGCTGAAATACTACTCCTTAATTAATCGAAGGAAAGCTTAACACTTAGTAACCGAAAACACTTGAACTGAGATATACATATCTACGAGCTAGAGGAGCTCTTCTCCTATTGCCATCCGATTCGTTTTCTTGAGGAGCTGGGTTGACTGCTGACTTCAACAGGTGCTCGTTGAGGCGTGCACTTACCAATTAGCATATGCACTTCAGTTGGCATCACCATCCCCCTTAGCCTTTGACCCCAGCCCAACCTCCTCCAGGACCTGGCCGTATGCAGTTCCTTGCCGGAGACCAAACATCCTCGCTCAAGTGGCGTTTTAACGCTTCAAATGCATAACGAGGGCGGCTCAAAGGGGTTAAGTCACTCGCAAGCACTCGCACTCACACTCACACTTGCTGGCAAAAACACTGGCAGAAAAATGTGGGGCCAAAAGGGAAAATAAATCAAAATAAAACTATAAAAGTGTTTTAATTTTAACAGGAAACTATTTTAAAAACTAAATTAAGTTTTAAAAACGATAAAAAGTTATGTAGGTTATATATTTCGTTCAGTGTACTCGTCAGCTAGGGCGGGATGAGAAAATAAAAGGGGTAGTGTAATTGCCTTAAGAGGCAACAAAAAACGAATCACACAAGCCGCTGCACATCAGCTAATTTCAGGCTCTTTCTCTCTCTCTCTTCCCAAAAAAAGAAAAAACCTTTAAAAATGGAGGAATAAATGGCAGGGAGAACGTTAAGAGAATGAGTGATGGCAAAGAACTTTTAACAGCCATCGAGTGACTTCCGTTTCCGGCAGCCGAAAAATTCCCCAAACCGTAAACCAAAAACCAAACCCTACAAATGCTAATCAGCTGAATGGCAAATCAGTTAATCTATATGCCACCACAAATCGATCGAATCAGTGGATATATATATATGAATATATGTATATACATATATACATCTGTATATTTATATATCTGTGCAAATACCAAGGCAGTTGGATATTTATGCGTTTCGACACCCAGACAGTGCGTGTGATTCATGTAAAGCTCTTCTGTCTGGTATTATTTTATGTTAAAGCAAAGGTTTTTATTTAAATAAATCAATAATTAAGGGAAATAAATTAACGGCTAATATATTCTATAATTTAAAACCCAAAGTAATTAGTCTAAATGTAAACAAATAAATATTTTAGGTGTCAAATTATAAACTTTATGTTTTAAAGGGTTTTACAAACCCCAGTAATTTGTGAAGTAACACACAATATATATTATTTTAAAGGAAATACCTAAAGTTTAAGCCAATTATAATGCATATTATGTCAACTGCAAATTTAATTTTATTCGCGCCGAAATAATGTGCATTTGAATCTATTTTATTTCGTATTTTCAACCCCCAAAAAACTCAGGTGGAAAGCACTTAGTTGTGATGCTGTTATGACGTATACGCCCCGTGTGGCGCTCACTATGCAGTGGTGTCTATGTATACACATCCTCATGTAAGTAAATGCACTTGTGTCTGTGCCAGAAAGGGACGAACTCAGAGCCCCACCCATCTCTCTCTGTTCCACTTGAGGCCGTAGTAAATAAAGAATAAATAAAACGACAAAATCTAACGATGCGTTATGCGAATATTTGCATTCGAAATTGAGAAATTTTCTCTCTATAAATGTGCGTGGGTGCAAGCCAGCTGAATACATACACACACCCACAACCGGAACAAGCACCCAAGCACCCAAACCACCCACCCACCCACACACACACACACACGTGGGGCATCTTTGTGTAAACGAGTCCTATGTACGTGTATTACATACCAAATTTAATACAGGGTGATTCCTAAATAAGGATGAGTTCTAGGATCTAAGATATTAAGGGAAATTTGAGAAGCTAATAAGAAAGATGCTAAAGGTATGCTCAGGACACTGTTATTCAATGAATTCCTTCACCGTCTAGGACCCAAAAGTGCCTCGAGGCACTTGTTACATTATTAACATTTCAAAAATAATATAATAAAACCTCTTTTTACGTTTAAATATTTTAAGTTAAGAATAAATGCTTAATTATACATATATGCATACATAGAGGCATTGAAAGGTATCAGAAGTTTATAACGGTAATTTTACGCGAAACGGATTTTCTATTCATTATAAAAGTTTACCAAACCAATTGTTTTATAAGTGAAAGGTAAATTAATTTTGTATTCACTAGAGGGTTAAAGAATATATATTATTAAATACTTTCAAACAAGTCTGATCACGTTAACATCCTGTTAAAGCAGGTTCAAATTTGTTAGTAGTCCAAATATAAATAATATAAAATCTATATAATTAAAAAAGATAAGAACATAGAGGTATACATGTAAATATATCCACACAGATTTAAGCACCCTAACCCAAGCTCTTAAAACATTTGGAAACTGTCAGGAAGAGAATATCACCCTCTGTTTCGCATCGTTGCATGGCACAAATAATTTCCACATTGCTCGAATAAACAAGACAAGAGCAGGCACATTGGAGCTAACCAAAGGCACCCAAAAACAACAACAGCGTTGATGAAAACGATGAAGAACCCTCGAGGAGACCGAAAATTATTCACAGCATACACAAGCGCATGCATACCCCTGTATAGACATGGACTTGGATGTGTGTATGCGATGACACTACACCACCACCACCACCACCACCACTACCATCATCATCCAAAAAGCAGCCCAACTCCCCGCTGAAACTGAAAACAAAACCAAAACCAAAGCTCGGTCGCCCATTCCCCCGTGCTTGGCTTCATCTTTTTTCCATTTCTTCTACTCAAAGGACTTCCGCCATATGGCCAGAGTTGGCAAAAGTATAATTTATCAAACACAGGGTTTTCAGAGTGCAGAAACCAACTTATCAGGACAGCGATTTCAACAACAACAATATCCATCAAATAGTACGTATTTTCCGAAGGATAAATAAATACGCAGGCAGAGTCCTTTAATTATATATATATACATTTATTTAATGGCATAATTTTCTTATTCCTGGATTTCCAAATGGGTTCTTCCGGGCTCTCTAAGGAATATTTTTCAATTTTCACTACACCACCGGCAAGTTTCTATTTGATTTTTTAAATTGTTTTTGTTTACACATATTTCTATCTCTAATTTATAATAAATATACAGTCGCCAAATGTTACAGAAAGTCAAAGACAATGCACAAAACTGGCTCAGAATTTTTACAAGGATTTTAATAAAATCCGATCCCAGCCTAAGGACTCGCACACACATCCTTTTAAACAATTATAATAGAGACAACTTAGTGAACAACAAATGACGCAAAATGGAATAACTCCTCTATTGGCTTCGATTTCCAGGTGCTACGTTAGCCAACACCGCCTCGGTGACCGCCTTTAGGGCAGCGGGAGCAGCAGGTGCAACTGGTGCCGGAGTAGCTGCAGCCACCGGCGAGTCTGGGGGACTGTGAAAGAAATACAGCAGAAATCCGGCGGCTAGCACAACGTGGGCACTCAGTATTCCGATGATGAGGAATAACGAGAACTGCGAGTTCCGCAGGGCTGGCGTCAGAACGGCAATTAAAACAGTTCCTGAGAGAAGGGCAGCTGTGATCACCAGGAGCCACTGCAGCACCGATATCTGGAAAGGGATTCATTTATAATTAGTTACATTACTTTCCAATATAATTATGAACCCTTACATTGATCACCCATAGAATTGAAACGGGAATGTAAATGGCCAGACTATAACCGTAGATGCACATCAGCGACAGAAGAGTCGGCGTGTAGCTGGCCTGAAATGAGACGCGAATGTGAGCGAGACGGCAAATGCAGCCCTCGAAGCAGGACGAATACTTACGCTATCCGTTTCCACGGCATCCGCAGTGTCCACCGGCTTAAGGCTGTACTTGAACAGGGCCCAGAGGACGGCCGGCAAGATGTTGGCGTAGAGGAAAATGCAGGTGGCCGCATAGGAGACCAGGTGGAAGTTGTAGTGCCAGTGGTAGCCATCGCTGGCATGATGCAAGTAGCTGGCTATATTGCCGCTAATGGCAATCGAGAAGATCTGCAAGGGGAAATGGAAAAGGATTAGAAAAGATATTTTCAAAACCCTTTTAACCCTTATAAATCTTGAAAACATGTCTTTCCCAGCTACTTAGCTTATTTTTTCTACTAAAATAAGCCTTTGAATAGGGAAAAACATCACTAAAGTTGGTGAAAACCCTCAAAAAGAGTTTTCCCTAACCGGAAAGACCTATGTAAAACCATAAAACTTCTTTGGCTACCAACCAGGGTGACGGTGATCCAGAAGGGACCGTACAGATCCGGGTTCTCGCCGATGTTCATGCGCAGGTAATTGCCCGCCGCCCGCTTGGGTATCATTGAGTTGACGATTCGCTCAAGAACCATGTAGGTGTCCACGTTGAAGAATTGCTGGTAGTACTCAATGGTGAGGAAGGAGAGCCGAGCGCCGCCAGCACCACCGCCTCCCGATCCGTCCAGTGAGACATTCTGTGCCTGATTGGAACCACCGCCGGCCATGTTCTGGGCGGAGGTGCTCATGTCATAGATGAGATCGGCCAGCGGATCGCCTCGCTGACGTTGAGCATTGGAGCCGCCACCAGATCCGGAGCCGGAACCAAACCCAGATCCGCCGCCCTGTGCGTGCGTCGGCGAATTGACGTTGATCTGGGCTGGGGCTCCGCCGCTATAGTCGCGGAACTGCAGCAGGTCGTCGGCCGTAGGGGTCTCCATTTGGGTTCGGTTTTCGGATGCACTGCCTCTTTTTGCTTTATTTTAGGTAAATATTCCACGTACTTTCGTCCAGCAGTGTGGCCGCCCCGATAACGATAAAAATTACCTTGAAGCCTACACAAAAATACCAATATATACCATTTCTGTATGCAGAAATACGAACTATATACCATAAATATAACAGTCTTTTCGCACAGTAGAAACAGCTGATTGGGCCACGAGAAGTAAACAAACCGAAACGGCAGATAGTTGTAAATATTTTGGAATGCTAAATTAAAATTGGACTGAATTTCCAAAGAATGAGAATGCTTTAGAAACGATACAAATGTGCTGTAACGAAACAATTCCCTTAATTTATTGGCTACCAAATAGTAAGGCCAGAGCTGGAATAGTTTATATTACTATTATTACCATTACAGTTTGAAAAATATATATTAAAATAGGCTTTGAGGGCAGCAAATGTTTGATAAAGACAAATGTGAATGCAATGCAGAATAATCAACTTTTTGTAAAGCTGCCAAAGGAGTTCGAGCGGAAAAGAAATACCGTCGATGTTTCGCCACCTCTATCGCTTGGTCAAGCTTTTCGAACATTTTGGTCGCAAAACTAGTTGGTCACACTGCATGTTACATCATGTGCTACCAAAATAACTAAATTTTATTATAAATTTGCCGCAATCAAAGCTTTTCTAGCGCCCCTGCAACTGGACTCCATCGGCCCAAGCGGTGGCAATGTAACGTGCATTCAAAGGCTGAGCAACGCTATCCAAGCATCTACACCTGAGCCGGGCGAGCCGACGACATAAACCGAGCAACCGAAACACGCAGGCAGCGCAGGAATAAATATAAATAAGAAATCTACATAGCTAAATAAAACAATACGCGCGATGAGCGAGAGCAGTAACAATCAGGTTAGTTGACGAAGGGCGCGAGAGGAAGAGGGAGCGAAAGCGAGAACGTAAACTTTATCAATTCGACAAGTTACGCATACAATTGCCAAAAAGAGAAAAAAACAAAAACAAATAAAACCTCTGCTTAGATTATTTTCGCCTGTTTTTGTGCACTTGTATTTGTTTGCAGCGCAATTTGTCCGCGTTTTGTGTATGTGTGTGTGTGCAATTTGCGCTGCGGTATTTTCCTTTTCGTCATATATACTTATGTACACCTGTATGCATATTATTCCATCTTTCTGTTTTTGCATTTAGTATAATTTCTTATTTCGTTTCATTTTCATTTCAGTTTTGTGACGTTGATTTTTGAGCAAGCCCCCACAAAAAAAAATATATATATAAAAAAAAGTCCGAGCACAGCCAGAAAGAAGCAGGAGCACACACCGTACTATATTTCATCCATTTTGAGTTCCGTGCGGTCAGCAATTTTTTTTGTTACTCCGGGCCGAGCGTTCCTTGGTGTTCCTTGGAGTTCCAGGAGCGGGAGCGGGTGCTGGAGGATTCCCAGCGAAATTGTGTCCATTGGCTGCATACCTTTTGTTTTGTATCGCAATTCTCTTCTACTCTCAAATCCAAACAACGCAATCGTCTCCCCAATTTGGACATCGAAATGGCGGCATACTTGAACCGCACCATCTCGCTGGTTACCGGGCAAACGGGCCCCGCCGCCGATGATGATGACCGTCACTCCTCATCCACGGACACATCGCTGACAACGACGGGCTCAACGACGCCGGCTGCTAATTTTCTGCCGGAAACGCGGCTCTATCAATCCAATGACAAATCACCCCTTCAGATCTTTGTGCGGGCCAAGAAGAAGATCAATGATATATACGGCGAGATTGAGGAGTATGTCCTGGAGACTACCACATTTATCAACGGTGAGTTGTGATTTCTAGAATGAATTAAATTAAACCTACTTCCTTTCAGCATTGCATGCGGAGGCGGAGATTGTGGACAAGGCGGAGCGGGAACTGTTTGAGAGCTATGTGTACAAGGTGGCCGCTATCCGGGAAGTCCTGCAGCGGGATCACATGAAGGTGGCCTTCTTTGGGCGCACCTCCAACGGCAAGAGCTCGGTGATTAATGCCATGCTGCGCGAGAAGATCCTGCCCAGCGGCATTGGACACACAACAAATTGCTTTTGCCAGGTGGAGGGCAGCAACGGTGGCGAGGCCTATCTCATGAAGGAGGGATCCGATGAGAAGCTCAATGTGGTGGTATGTCTCAGCTCTAATCCAAAGTAGCACCGATTTAATCTCTCTCTCCCTTCCTTCCTCCTGTTTTGGTTAGAATATCAAACAATTGGCGAATGCCCTTTGCCAGGAGAAGCTATGCGAGAGCAGCTTAGTTCGCATCTTTTGGCCCCGGGAACGCTGCAGTCTGCTGCGCGATGATGTCGTCTTTGTGGACTCACCTGGCGTGGATGTGTCCGCCAATTTGGACGATTGGATTGATAATCATTGCCTGAACGCCGACGTCTTTGTCCTGGTCCTAAATGCTGAATCCACAATGACGCGAGCGGAAAAGCAATTCTTTCACACCGTCTCTCAGAAGCTGAGCAAACCGAATATATTCATTTTGAACAATCGCTGGGATGCATCGGCCAATGAGCCAGAGTGCCAAGAGTCGGTAAGGTCTTGTCTTGTTGCCCGTAGTCTCTCTACAAGATTAGTTTCCCGGGTCAATCCTTGACCTTCTCTAAGCCCGTTGTTGTCTCTCTTGTTGTTGATGTGTGTGTCTTTTACTTTCGTTTACCAACCAACCATCCAACCAATAAACACTCCACTGTACTTTCAACGCCAGGAACTGGCTAAGGTAATGAATGATGAGCTAGTCCCAGTAAAATACGACCTCCTGCTTGCTTAATTCCCACCCGAGAGAAAGACAAACCCACTCTGCTTTTGATTCTGTTACTTTAACCTCGGCTCAAGTCGATGTTACCCACTTTTTCCCATCAAGTTCATGCTTTGTTTCATCATCCATCGTTAGGTCAAGTCCCAGCACACCGAACGCTGCATCGACTTCCTCACCAAGGAGCTGAAGGTGAGCAACGAAAAGGAGGCAACCGAACGCGTATTCTTTGTTTCGGCCCGCGAAACACTGCAGGCACGGATTGAGGAGGCCAAGGGCAATCCGCCGCATATGGGCGCCATTGCCGAGGGCTTCCAGATGCGCTACTTTGAGTTCCAGGACTTTGAGCGCAAGTTCGAGGAGTGCATCTCCCAGAGTGCCGTCAAGACCAAGTTCCAGCAGCACAGTTCGCGCGGCAAGAGCGTGTCGGGCGATATGCGCTCCATGCTGGATAATATCTACGAAAGGATCACGATATTCCGAAATTTGAAGCAGGACCAGAAGAACATGCTCACGGAACGTATCCAGGGCACAGAGACCCAAATGATGCAGGTCACCCGCGAAATGAAGATGAAGATCCACAATATGGTCGAGGAGGTGGAGGAGAAGGTGTCGAAGGCCCTCAACGAGGAGATCTGGCGACTGGGCGTCCTCATCGATGAGTTCAACATGCCCTTCCATCCAGAACGCCTGGTGCTCAACATCTATAAGAAGGAATTGAATGCTCATGTGGAGAGCGGACTGGGCAGCAACTTGCGTGCCCGCCTTTCCATGGCCCTGGCCATGAACGTGGAGTCGGCCCAAACGGAGATGACCGACCGGATGCACGCCCTGGTGCCCAACGAACAGCTGCTGGCCACCAGCACCAAAATGGTGGTCCGCACACAGCCCTTCGAGATGCTCTACTCGCTGAACTGTCAGAATCTGTGCGCCGACTTTCAGGAGGATCTCGAGTTCAAGTTCAGTTGGGGCATCGCGGCCATGATTCACCGCTTCACCGGCAAGGTGCGCGAGCGCAGCAAGAAGAACCAGCCGGCGCTGGTGAATCGTCAGAGCAGTATTGGGGTGAGTTAAGGATAACGAAGAATGATTTAATGAATTCCACTTGATGATATAATCTGTGCCTCTCTGCCCCAGCAGCACAGCGTCGTGACGCCCGCCAGCACGCCTGTGGAGGCGACAACCCCTGTGTGCCTCCTTCCCGGGCCAAGTGTGGCTGGAATTACGCCCGAGCAGCTATCGGTGATCTCCCGGTTTGCCATGACCTCCATCGGATCGCAGGGCACAGTGGGCGGCCTTGTGGTTGCTGGCATTGTAAGTAACTTTGTTCTCCTGTCTGTTGTGTCCCCTTGTGCCCACGAATGCCCAAGCAGGTGCTATTGAAACGTTACGGGATACAAATAAACCCTTTCCAGATGCTGAAAACTATTGGTTGGCGTGTCCTGGTCGGTGTCGGCGCCCTCTACGGCTGCATCTATCTGTACGAACGGCTCTCGTGGACGAACTCGGCCAAGGAGCGGACCTTCAAGAGCCAATATGTGCGGCATGCCACCAAGAAGCTCAAGATGATCGTGGACCTTACATCCGCAAATTGCAGTCATCAAGTGCAGCAGTAAAAAAAAAAAATGTTTAGTGACTGCATTTCGTTGATTCAATCTGATTTTCATCGCAGGGAACTGTCGAGCACCTTTGCCCGCTTGTGCCGCACCGTTGACACCGCCACCACGGACATGAACGAGGAGCTGAAGACCCTGGAGTCGCAGCTTAATGTCCTCGAGGGCAATCAGAAGCAGCTGAAGCTGCTGCGCAACAAGGCTAACTACATACAGAACGAGCTGGACATTTTCGAGCACAATTATATCTCGCCGCAGTAAGAATGGATCCTAGATGGAGTTTATAGAGGCGGAAAGTATGTGGTTGGGTGGTGGGATCCTCTGATCTGAAGGGAAAAGCCACAAACCTCTTACGGCAACGACAACAATTAACTCTTTTTTTTCGCACTATTTTGTTTTTTTCCTCTCTTTTTGTATAAAAGCATGATTTGACCAATCAAGTTGTACAATTTTAATTTTTTTTATAGAACAAATTGTGAGATTTACACATAATTCTAGAGTGGCAATTATTGTATTTTTTTTAATCTCTGGAGTTGTTGTTGTTGTAATATATATATATATACCAATAACCACTCACTGTGGCCATGGAAATGCTAATTGAAGTGGACTATAAAGTCACCATATGCCCCCTCCTCATATAACGCAAATGCAACTTGATTTACCTTCTAATAGAAAGTTCTTGTAATTATACAAACATTTTGTTTTTCTCCCAATCGGATATTAGAATAATTGAATGACGAAAGCGTATACTTGCATCATCACTACGATGGGGGTGTGTGTTAATTGTTAATGGATGATTCATGAACGAAAACGAAACAGAAACAAAATAAATGATATTTATGTAAGAAAGTGTTGTTTGATTTTTAGTTTTAAGCGGAAAGGTTTACATCTTCCATTTTTTTCAGATTATATAAGATAATATTTTTTCTGGATGAAGGAGTCTATTCCCGACCCTATAAATCATATACATATATTCTTGATAAGCATCAACAGACGAATCAATTTAGTCATCTCCGGAGAACAAAAATTTTGTTAAACATCTTTAAAATTTTCAAAATTTTATAACATTTTTAATAATTTTTAGTTTTAAATAAAGTATGCATATATTTTATCTTCACAAAAACCAACACAGAGTTATGATATTTCTAAATATGTTTCACTTTTAAAATAATTAAGCAAATTATACCAAGTTTTTTTAATATAAAAGAAAATCAGATTAGAGTAAATTTTTTTTTCTGGGTATTTTAATTCAGCATATTATAACTAGCATCGGCCAATTTATATACAAAAACCAGGTAGTTCTAAAAAAAGTGATAAACAAATTTATGTTTTTATAAATAATATATATAAAATATTTTTTTAATGAGTAAATTGAATCCAGTTCCCAATGATCCAATTACAAACTGCAAGGTATACAAACTTTGTAGCTTCCTTTTTTGTTTCGCTATTAAAATAGACCAGAATATGACTGCAATTGTTTTGTTATTTATTATTTTCCAACTTATGTAGAAGCTAGAATGTATTTAAAAATAAATTCAAACAATTTGTAACACAATATCAGGCAAACATAAAATAAACAAAATAGTTTATTGATTAATTGTAAACTTTTTGAACTCACTTCCGCAATAAAACCCCTCGCTTCAGTTGGAAGTAAACCATTTATTCAGGCTTTATCTATGGAGTTCTCAGGGATTTGTGTCTAGAGTCCCCCTTCCCGCATTAAACCTAATCGAGCTGCACCAGAAACGAAGGTCTGCAACGAAATAGCCACTGCAGACGCAAAAGTACAGACACACGAGAGCAATATTCACCGAAATCGATCCAGCCAGCCAGGCCCCCAAAATGTCAATCGTATCCTACGAACACATCGAGTAGTCCCTGAGACAAGCGATGAAACTGGCCTTCATGGGAGCGCACTAGGCAGAACGACTCTTGCTTAGTCCTATCTACATACTTCCGTATATATATATTGTATAGTATATCTGTATAATTCCGTATATATATAGATATATATATAGATGTATAATGTGTGTATATCTGTATAAACATGTATAATGGTAATGCAGGCTGCAGGCGCGGGGTGGGCGTTAGAATTCATGTTGTAAACGTTTAGATTTGTACAAATTCATTCATTTGTGTGTCCTAAAACATTTAAATTACTAAGATGAGTAACGGCAATATATTAGTTCCTGAAGGGAATTCAAAAGCGTTACTCATCTTTGTAATTCGAACGTCTTTGGTGTGTCCTTCGCCTTCGTGAGCTGGTACATTATGGTATATTGTATATAGAAACATGCTCGAAATATCGCTAATCGGTAATCGCTAATATAATATAATAATATCAAGTTAGAGAGAGAGACGCTAGAGACGTGAGCACTCGCACAGTTTGAATCTTTGGCAAGACCGCAGATACTGATCACAAGAATCGTTTCGATTTACACATATATAGTTCAGTTCCTAATGCTAGGCTACAACTATTTCGTACTTGCTCGAGATAAAATTTGGCTAATTGTGGAGCAGTGACTCGGGTACATTCATCATCATTATCCTAATCTTCCATAGGAATCCCTGTCGTTTAAGTACTCTAAGGTCTAAATTCGCTGTTTCCCTATAACTCTCATCGCCCTCATGGTTCGATAGCTCCTTCGCCGGGATAGAGGTTCACCAGGATGGCATAGTAGTGGCATCCAGCGGCCAAAACCACAAACAAATGCCAAATGGCATGGGCCATTGGTATCAGGCCATCCGCCTTGAAGAACACAATGCCCAGAATGTAGAATCCGCCGCCGAATTTTAGTTGCAGCATCCCGTGAAAGTGATGGCCCGTAAAGACAACCACCAGCGCTGGGCCCAGGCCCATAACCAAGTAGAAGAATGTCTCCAGGCACTTGTAGCGCTCGTGGAATATCTGTTGTTTTTAAAGGGGAAAAAATATATTATAAGTATAGATTTATTAGCAGGGACAATGAACAGTGATTATTGGAATAAAATAAAAATAATTTCTTACCTGCTGGTAAGCAATCCCGACGGCCGCCATCAGCCAGATGACCCACTCCATGCAGAAGAGTATGGTCGAGTGGTCCGTGTTCTCCAGCGTCAGCCAGGGGAAGTAGGAGCCGGCAATGAATACATAGATCATGGCCCTGTCGCACCGATGCAGCACATTCTTCAGTCCCTGGTACGTCTGCCAGCCGAGGCTGGGCCATGCCTTGACATTCCGCGGCGGTCTAGCCAGAACAAACAAAGAGTAATGAGTCACATAAGGGCCAGACAGGTGGGCCAGCCACTTACTTGTGCTCGGCACAGTAGCAGGAGCAGTGAAAGAAGGTCGACACGGTGAAGAGCATGCAGAGGGCGCCGCCATAGACCCAGGACACCAGGTACTGGCTGGAGCTCGAGGAGCGTTCAAACAGCTTAATGGCGGCAAACACGGCTGGCAATATCCAAATCCCGTGCGTAATCACATTGGCCACCTGCTCAATCTAAAAACAAAACAAATACAACCTGTTCTAGGGAGGAGAGGCAGCGGGCAGCGAGCGACGGGCAACTTACCTCGGTTGGCTGATAGGCACAGCCGGGCTTGGCCTTGGCATTCTTCCACTTGACATTCCTTAGGCGAAGCTTGAGATTGGAATTCGATTGAATGATCGACTTCCAGAACTTGCTGAACAGATTCTCAAGGAAGGCGTACTTGTTCTGCAGGTCCTGCATCAGGCTGAGCTCCCCATTGTTGCGATTCCGGTTGCCAATCAACCGTTCATGCCCAAGCCCACTTCCGTGGCCACTCCCGGTGCTGGTGCTCATCGTGGACAGACTGTGTGGGATTAGATTGTTTAGCAAATTGGTTGTCCGACTCGCGTAAAATTGATTGATTACCCGGCCACCGGTCTAACCCCAACCACCCACGGCCACGCCCTCACCCTACGCCCAACGCCTACGCCTGGCTGTCTGCCTCCCCCGGCTATATGGCTTTATGGCCAATTGATTATCATCTGCTGCCGCCGCCACCGTCGGGCGCTTATCTTCCAGCGCACGATAAGCCCTCCTCCACGACGCCAATGACTGGACAATGGACATGGGGGCACTTGAGCTATTCCTCAGCATTGAGCTAATTTATGCTCATTGAGAGAGCAGAGCCTGCACATACTGCATACAATGGCCAAGCCAAGGTTGCCGATTTTGACCCGCAATTGAAACCAGTTCTCCTCTGATTGCCGGGACCCGCTTATCTCGTGTGTCTCGAACATGGCTCAAAGTCCAAGTCGGATGAGCGGGCGGCTGGAGATATGACTTGCCCCCGTAGGCGTAGGAATATGATTAAACGGGGGCTCTTGAGGTTTGATTTCCATTTAAGGTTATCTAATCCCTGAAAGCACTACACTTTTTTATACCCAGGGTATTACGATTTTTGCAATGCAGAGGAGACAGTTTCGGTTCCGCATCAACAGCCGAGTCGATCTAGCCCTGTCCGTTTCTATGCGAACTAGTCTCTCAGTTTTGAAGCTATCTGAATGAGACTTTGCAGATAGGTTTCTTACTATTCTCGTTATATTTATATATAGCGAAACAAGCCAGATTGGATGACAATATCATATACAAAGCTGCCATAGGAACAATCGGAAAATTGTAGAAAAAAATAACTTTGCTGTTTTTTAACATATTTTAATCTACTTTAGGATGTGGTCAATTTGTATTATTTTAGAATTTTGGTTTTAATTTTATCAAAATCGGACGACTTTATCATAAAGTTAACATAGGAACGATCGGTACAGAAAAATGTAAACATGTAAATTTGTATTTAAATATTATATTAAATATTTCAAATCTGAACATTTCTTTTTAAAATTATATTAAATATTTCAAATATTAAACATAATTATTTTCACGATTTAAAAATAATGTCTTTGTAATTTTATCAAAACCATATAATTCATTGCTATGTATAAATATATATCTTTTAGAAGATAGTTTTCAATGATCCAATTGTAAACTGCAAGAGTATAAAAACATCGGCATGCCGAAATTATCTTCCTCTCTTGTTTTACTACGATTTAAATGCCTAGACGGACATTAACCCCCCTATAGGTTGGGGATTCTAATAAGCATACGTTTTTTAATTATCTAATCGCGTGGTGTAAGTGCCGAGTCCGAGCGCGCTGACCATGAAGAGGTCACTTTGAACAATGCCCCAACGATATACCGCACTTAACGATGCAGAGAGCTTGTTATATCCTGCTTGATAGCCTCTAAAAGATTCATTAACATGGCCGGCTGGCTCTTCTGCCTTCTGTCCGTCAGATTAAACGAATATTTACAGGGAATACTTTCGACAGCTTTTCAATAAATATGTCCCGAAACCGGGACACATCCGGTAGTTGGGTGGGTGTCCCTGTGACCGCCCCAAAAGTATGCCTCATTTGCTGCCATGGGGGGGAGCCCACTATGGGTGGTGGAAAAGGCAAAAGCATAACACAACGGACGTCCCCGTGTAGCTTCATCATCGCCATCACCATAACGACTATGCTAATCGTTATAAAAATAGATGCCTCAGGCATTCCCTATATTGCCAATAGCCAATCAGCGGGGGGCAGGGAGCACACAGGGTGCACCGAGAAAAGAGATTATTGTTGATTTTAGATTTAATTTAACGGGAACTTTATTTACCGTTATTGAGCTGGGCCACAAAAACGGTAAACTTTACACATTTCCAAAGAACTTTTCACTCTTTTTTCATGAATGAAAGTAAACACATTTATGCTGCAACAGCTTTTCTTTCAGTGCCCTGTGAAACGTTCCAAGATTGTTTACATCTCTCATAGCTAAAAGCAATCGCAGTGCTAATCCAATTTGTTCCGCTGCCGTCACGCAATTCAGCCATGCAACCACCTGTCCAGTCCAATTGTCCACCTGTCCGTCTAACTGCCATTCCGTGCTCACCCCGCCCCAGAAACAGGGAAACGGAGAAAAGGTCTCCTCTGAATTTCTGGAGGGAAACTCACCTGCCTTGTTGTTGCTGCCACTGGTTAGAAGAGGATGCTGGGCTCCGCTAGGTGGGATACGTGGGATGCTGCAATCAGCAGTCTGGAATCTGCAGCCAAGGAGCCTCACGTGCGGATCGGGAGTCCCACGCAGGACGCGCGCTGCTCGTTAGACCCACGGCGGATGCATCTGGCGGAGACGAGGGGAGACGAGACGGCGATATTCTGGGGTCCACTTTCTGAAGATGGGGAGCGATAGTGAGACCGCGGCACAACCGTTCAAATATACCGTCGGCGCTAAACTGACGCAGGGGACGTTTTTTCAATTGAACATTTTTAAATATTTGTAACTCTCAAGAAAACCATAAGCTTTTAATATTATTTCTTCTATTCTTGTACATTTTAATTAGCTTGATGTTTAATTTACTGGAAAGAGTAAAACATTCTAATTCAAGTTTTTTTTCCAACAACGTTGATATCTTAACACAGTGTGACCCTGCCAGAGAAGTAAGATTCCCAACGTATTTGACTGCGGTCACTCTAAAACTCCAGCTAGTTGCTCGAATTCGCGGTTAATTTTGTTTATTAATCACAAAAACCATGTCCGGCAATAAGGCGCAGCTCGAGGAACGTCAACCCAACGCCAACACCCTTCTGCCCCCCAGCCGCGTGCGCACCATCATGAAGAGCTCAATGGACACCGGCCTGATCACCAACGAAGTCCTCTTCCTGATGACCAAGTGCACGGAGATGTTTGTGCAGCATTTGGCGCGCGAGGCGCATGCCAAGCATGGTGGAGGCGACACCCTCAAGTACGAGCAGCTGTCACAGCTGGTGAACAAGGAAAAGAACCTGGAGTTCCTGCTTCAAATCGTGCCCGAAAAGATACGCGTCTACCAGTTCAAGGAGATGCTACGCCTGAACCGCAGCCGCGACGGCGACGACGATGATGATGACGATGACGACGATGACTCTGGCTCGGGATCCGAGTCGGAGGAGTGATGGCCCACCGCACTGATTCCACCACTATCATAATTAAGTCTAGATGGTAAGTTGCGTCCACGTCCCGAGTGGAATGCCAAAAAAAACATGTTGCATCTCAAAAAAACACCAGATCACACCGCCCGTTTCCTGGATCTGGATAAAATAAATATTGTTCAAATCGAGTTGTACTTTAAAAACGTTTAATTGCACTTGGATTCGAATGGGGACAGAGATTCCAGCTCCTGCTCCTGCTTCAGACCCTCAGATTGACGCCGGGGTAACCGGTGGCATTCAGGCCGGTCACCTTGTAGGTGGTGCCAGCAGGCGCCGGCTGATCGAACTTGGCGGCGGTGGTCACATACAGAATGTCCAAGTTGGGACCTCCGAAGGCCGCCGAAGTGATCTGTTTGGTGGGGAACTTGATTTCCAGCAGGACCTTGCCAGTGCTACAGGATGCCAAAAGAGATGGATCATTAGAAACGTGCTTGATTGATAATTATGGTAAATCTAAACCCACCTCGGGTTCACCTTGAAGATGGTGGCACCATTGAAGGTAGCCACATACAGATTGCCCTCGGTGTCGATGGTCAGACCGTCGGGCAGCAGATGGTCCTTGGGACTGGTCTTGCGCAGGTTGAAGATCACCTTGGGATTGGTGGCCACACCGGTCTCGAAGTCGTAGTCGTAGGACTTGACCTCGTAGTCGGTGGTATCGATATAGTAAAACTTCTTGGCCTTCTCGTCCCAGGCCAAACCGTTTGAGATGCCCACGTCACCCTTGATCACCGAGGTCTGGCCGCCGGCCTCCCAGCGGTACAGCTCGCCGTGACGGAACTCGAACTCATCGCCAATGTAGCGCATGGTGCCGCCGAAGAAGCGACCACGAGGGTCGGCCTTGGCGTCGTTCAGGCGGTTCTTGTCCATCAGCGGCTGGACCTCGAACAGTGTGCGCACCACCTTGGCAGTGGGCGAGACTCCGTCCCAGTTGACAATCACCACACGACGGCCGCAACCCACAGCGAACTCCTGGGGACGTCCCTCCACGGGCAGAACGAATCCGGCCAGGGTCTCGCCCTCGATTTTCGTCTTGTAGGTCTTGTTCTGCTTAAAATCGTAGCGCATTAGGCTGCCGGCCTCCAAGTCCACAAAGTAAAGGCTCTGGCGGGCCACATCCCAGTGAGGACCCTCGCCCAGGCCGGCGTAGGAATCGGGCAGAGGCTCAATCTTGTAGGACATCTGCAAGAGAAGTGAAAGTTGCTTTAATATAAGGTCCTAACCTGGTTTGTAATTCTAATTCTTATTCCAATTCTCCACTACCGTTAGTCCCAAGAAACACGCCAAAGCCACGATAATCTGGAAACTGGAAGACTGAAACGGGTACATTCTGCGTGCGGTTGCCTCTGACTTCTTGGGATTCTGACTCCGAACTGAAGCTTAAGCCGTCGGCGGGAGAGGCTTTTATTATGTGTGCCTTTACCTCCGAAACCGAAGGGGCCTGACATTAATGGAGAGACAATCTCAGCATCTCAGCAGGCAGGCGGAACAGATTTCCATTTCCATGTATTTATTTTTTGTTGATTTAATTTGTTGCCGCCGCTGCAGCTGCGCTTTTGTGACGTCATGCCCTTCACTTACTCAGCAGCAGCAACAGCAAAAGCAAAAACAACAAGACAGGGCAGAGCTTCAGCCTCAGAGAGATGTCGTCGCGATTAACTTTTAACTTTGATTGCGCGCCTGTTAATTAGTATTTTGTTTTTGTTGTCGCTGCTGCCGCCGCACACATTTTAATTGACTTTTGATGTCCGAAGCTCTGTGTTATTGAATTGGTCAAGTTTGAAGAGGCAACTGTTAAGTAGCCAGGAGTAGGCCACATGTAAATGGCACAGTGTCATCTCAAGTGTATTTTCTTATCAAAATTATGAGTTATTTTCATTAAAATATTTCGATTTTCTTTAATAATTAAAATTTTTTATAAAAATTTTAAATAATAATAAAAAAAATTTAAAAATAATTTAAATAATTAAAATTTTTTATAAAAATATATATAATTTCAGAATATTTTAAAAATCCCTTCGAAAACAAGAAGCGAGCTCAAAATATATAGTTTTTAAATTTATTTTCAATCTTTCAACTTAAACACTTGGGAATTTATTTCAAGTTCACTTGGGCACTCAAAAAAAAATAAGGATACACGATTCCCAGATCCCAGAGGACCCTTAAACCAGGACATACCTTGGAAGAAGTATTCGTTTACCGTGGATAAAGGAGAAAGTGAATCCTTGGACACTGGCCTCGGCGGGTAACGCGTTCAAACTGAAGTTCCACCGATCGGCCAGAAATCTTTATATACCCCAGCCGGTACCGGCGTGACAAACAATCTTGCACAGACCTAATCCCCCCGTTACACCCTGCCCGGCCCGAGGTCTCCGTTTCTGGCCTGATAAGCGGCCAATTGGAGGGCTGGATAACCCGGCATGATAACACAGAAGCCGGCGGGGCGGGCAGGCCAGGCAACAGGCAAATTAACCCGTCGACAACAATTGCCACTTGTCCGGGACTCCACAATTTAAACGGGGGTTAAAAGGTCAAATTGTATTAGCTAGTATTTGAAATTTGGGGATAATTAAGGGTTAGTTTGAAATTTAATTGGGGTATCTTATTTTCATTGCAAAATGTATGGCATGGTTTTAAAAATGCAATCGAGGTTTTAGGATAGTTAATCGAAGAAAATCGATTTTTTTGTATGCCAAAATCGATGTTTTTGAAACTCTTTTTGGCACTAAATATCCTAAAGCTAAATAATTTTTTACTTTACAAACCCAGCTTAATAAATTTTAGATATTTATGTAGACATTGATTGGTATTCGAAATTAGTAGACATAAAGTAATAATATTTATAAAATTCTACAAATTATTCCAAGATTTAGAAGGTTAAATAATAATATTAAGTTTATTGTTTTCAATATGTATGCAATAGGTTGCACTGATGCTGTTGTGGCGCTTCAAGCGGAGATTTGTGTGGGCAAAACAGGCCGATAAAAGGCTTTTTTAACTTCTGTTTATTTTATAATATTTAATTGTTTATTTGCTTTTTTTTTTTAGAGAAATTCTATGCTTCCGCTGGACGAATGATAAAGTGCAGCGCGGTTGGCGATAAATGGCTCAGCTTGGGATATAAAAGGATGCCTCTGGCATGGTATCAACTTTTCACTTGACCTCCAAGCTTTATTCATGGCTATAGGCAGGGGAAAGGGGATGGGATGCGATCGGACCATGACTGAGTCCGATTCTTAGAGACCCCTTATCGGCAGACAGAAGACAGATGTCACCCGGTTGGCCCCTGACTGGTCTTTTCTATTTCCATCTCGGCTTTAAATTTAAATTGCTCTTTAATTAATTGCCGCAAGATTTATGGTCATATTTGTTAGTTCGCCTGTCGCTTGATAAGGTTAATCCCGTGATCCAGCCTTTTACAATCCAAATTCGATGTGTGAAACTCCTGCCATCGAAACTTGAATAGATATATTTTCCATAAAATTTTAAAAATAGTTCAATTTATGGGAAATAAGGTGTGCAATAGGATATTTTATTTTTATTATTTTTTTTAGGAGGGCCACGAAAATAGCTGTGTGGATTCTATATGATATTTGTTAAATTCAAATTAAAAGAAAATTTAAAAAAAAATTATCTATTATAAATCGATGAAAATAGCATTGCAAATAAAACTAAAATTGCTAATTAATTAAATTAAATATAAATTACAAATAAACGGAATCCCCACCCAACGTCAGCCGAATTCGCGGGCAAGTTTTCAAAATCGCGAATATTCGTGGGATAGGGAAGGCAAAAACGGTTAGTTGTTGTTGGACCGGTTTTTTGTTTACCTTTTAACGGCGTTTATCAATTGTGTTATTGCCCCCGTTCTATGTCAAGGCCAAGCCAATTGCGCAAATTGGCCAAAGATGCGGCGTCGACTCTTGCGGTTTCTTACTTACGATTAGTAACCAGCTGGCAGAGCAATTAAGTGAAGTTGAATTAAGAGAAATACGTAATTAAGCAAAACAGCGAACAAAAAAGAGAAAAAATAAACAAAAATAATTCTCTGTGGGGGCCAGCGTTGCCAAGTTAGCTATTTTCCCGCTGGATCCGGCGGTTTTCAAAAGCATGGGGCGGCGTAAATTCTAGCTATTTTCCTAGTAAAATTAGCGTTATTTTAGCTTTTTAGCCTGAAACAGTGTTGTCAGCTTAACTTATTACAAGCATATTTTGAAAATATTTAAGAAAAATATATATTAATATTTGTTTTTTATTTTACTATGGTTTTTAAAAATATGAAAATATGAAATCGTGATTTGGTTTATTTACTTTTTTCCCTAATGATTTTTCGATGTTTTTACGGACGACACATCGATAGTATCGATTGTTTTTAAAATATATCTATAAAATCTTTTTAATAGTTTATTTCATTATTTTATGATAACAAATAGCCTGTAATCTTTAATTATTTTAATGTTAAAAAGCTCCAGTATCCCGATTTTCCTACTTTTTGGAGGCTGCCTTCTTCGTCCGAATTGGACACACAAAATTGGACGTACAGAAGTAAAGTAAAGTACCCTTTGCCCGAGTACACCCGAGTGCCAATCACCAAATTAGAAAAAAAAAGTCAAACGTCGATAGTATCGATAGTGCTCCGATGTTTTGCCAGCCGTAGTCGAGCCCGGTCACACTCCCATTGCGATTCTCTTTTGGCCTTCTATTCTTTCAAAATTCGCCGAATAACGAACAACGCGTCGCTCCGCATCGCTTTTTTTTCCTGTGCGCCTCTCGTTCTGCCCGCTGCAAAACAAAACGAAATCGAAACCGAACTGAAAACAACGGGACCGTTGACTCTCGCTCGGCCCAGGATCGTTCCAGGAGCGAGTGAAACGGAACGCGTGTTCCGATGTGCGGAACTGGGTAAGGAGGCGACGGCGGTGGCGTCGACGGCAACGGCAATGGCGACGGCGACGTAAAGTCGATTGCGAACGGACGCAGACCGAAACAAAAGTGAAAACGTGCAAAATACAAATACAACTGCGGCAAAATGTGCGACGCTGCGGCAACGGCGTCGGAGACGGCGACCACAGCGCTGCTGGCAGGAGTTAGTGCAGTGACGGTGCCTGGGGCTGGAACACCGGGAGCAGCTGCCCCCAGCACAACTACATCCACATCCCAGCCGGAAGCTTCGGCGACAGCAACAGCAACCACGACGATGACGGCGGCGACGACGCCGCTGGCGACGAAGAGCGAGCGGGCGGCGCGACAAAACTGCTGTCGCCTGTGCATCGCTCCAGCCACCGAGTGCATCTCGATCATCAACAGCTATGCAGCGGACAAGGAGCCGCTGTCCACCAAGATCCACAACTGCGTCAGCATCAAGGTGAGTGAGTTGAGCAAACCGGAGCACACACGTAATCTGGCTGTCGTCATCCGCTCTCTCGGCGGTGGCGGCGGCTCTCTGGTGTGATGTTGGCGTGGTGTGGTGCGGTTGGTTGGTGTCCAACCCCAACAGATATACACACCAGGAGAGGCCACGCCAGCCCAGCCAGCCGGACAGAAGCCAGCGGTTGAGGTGGAATGGAGGAGGAGGATGAGGCAGTGGCCACACCCGACGACGGCACTGCTTGTGGTTGTCGGTTTGTCGCTTGGAATCTCACTGCTGGACGCGAAAAGTGAGGTTACGGATGAAGCCACCACAAGGCAGCCAGCTAACCAGCCAGCCAGCCAGGCCAGATTGTGCAAGCGACGACGCCGACAACGACGATTGTCGGTGATGATGGCCACCGAAAGCGAAAAAACCAGCCCGCCCCGCCTCCTCTTCATCCTCCTTCTGCTTCTCCTCCACCTCCGCTGCTTCTATGGCTCTCAGCTTCGTTCGCTTCGTGCACGTCTCTGTATGCGAGTGGCTCGCCGCATGGTCCGTTTTTGGGTTTGGTTCCCAGTTTCCACTGCCAAGTCACGATGCAGAGAGTGAGAGGGAATCGCGGAGCCAGAGGCAGTGGCAGAGGGGCAGCATTGGTATGGGTGTAATCCAATCACGACCACAATCTTTGCTTTTGTTGGGCTCATAATCAAACTTGAACTCCGTTCTCCGTTCTGCATCTCCTCCGTTCTCCATTCTCCGCTCCTCCTCCTCCTCCCCTTGCTATTCCAGTCCCATTTTGAGGTTAGAACTGATCCTGCTTCCTTTCCAAAAATATGCTCCTCCTTCTCCGTTGCTCCTCGTCCAAGCGGATTGGAGTGGAACAAGAGAGACAGCAGACGGACGAGAGACGAATGGCCAGCACAAAGCGTAAAGTACGATGAGCGCGCCGCCGTTGTCGTTGTCGGCCGCTTGTGTATGTGTGCAAGCTGTGCGATATATACGGCCGTGTATGTGTATGTGCGTTTGGGTGCCTGGACAGGCACAGGCACAGGCACAGCCACTGGCAGAGATTCCAGGCCAGAAAACCCAAAGCCCGAAACCCAAAACCAGACCACGTCGGCGACGACGATGACGACCCGCAACCCAGGCAATTACATATAATTTGGCCGCTGTGCCTTTCCATGGAATTTCGCTTGGAGGGCAGCACCAGCAGCTGCCTCTGGGTTTAGGTTTCGGTTTCTGGACTTGCCTCCGCTCCGATTCATATCAGCTTGCTCAGTGGCCCAGCTCAGCTCTCCTCTCTCTCTCTCGCTCTCTTTGCGCGCGCGCGTCCTTCGGAGCAAATGGTGCTGCAGCAGGAGCAGAAGCAGGAAAGGGAGCAGGAGCGGGAGCGGGTGCGGGAACAGCAGGAGGACATGGACTCTTCCTCATGCGGCTTCGCTAGCTTCGTTTATTGATTCTTTCAAGGGCTGTACACAAAATGGACGCCTGCTGCTCTGGGCTAGCTTTGTGTTTTCGTTTTGGTTTTTTTTTTTTTTTTTTTCACGCTGGTCTTTGAGCCCCCGGCATCCAACATCCCACATTGCATATCCCATTGACCAGTGCCCGTTGCCCAGGGCCCATATCCGCCAGTTGCCAGTCGCCATAGTCGCCAGCTCACAGCACGCTGCTTCTGCGTGTGCTCTGTTGCCCCCGATGGTCGTCTGGTCTGCCGGTCTGCTGGCTCGCTGGGTCTACTGGTGCTCGGTTCTCGGTGCTCAGTGCTCTGTTCTTTCCCTGGGCTCGATTTCATGGCAATTGCTTTGCACGCACACACAGCCGGCGCACACATATACTGGGCACAACAGCGTATGTATACACGACGGCGGCGGTGGCGACGACGACGACAACGACCGAGAGGCACTGGCGCTGGCTCTGGTTGGCGTCATCGCTAGCTCGACTGCTTCTGCGAGGCGATGGCTATGGCGATGGCGATGGCGATGGCTTCTGGGGCCTCTGCTGCTTCTCTTGCTTTGCCTCTTCCTCCGTTCTCGTTATCTGGAGGCGGACCACATGCTCGCACACGCATACACACAGAGCCACTTGGGTACGGGCACAGGCAGAGGCAACGCTTGGGTAGCACATACACACACAGCTCAGGCAGACCGACTCACACACACACCCATACAAGCACGGGAGCAGGCAGGCAAGACAAAGACGACAGGCAGGCAAAAGAGACCGGGAAACGGGAATGGGAATGGGCCAGGGCCTGGGCATGGCAAGCGGGAAGAGGACAGAGGCCAGCGGGAACGGAAGGCGGACTGCGGGAATGGGACGGAGACCCTGGCCGGGCACAAAATTCGAGTGGTTTCACCTTGGGCACCAGATTACCTGGCCTGGTCTGTTGGGATGTCGATATTTCTACTTTAGCTTTGGCTTCTTCGTCATCTCCTTGTACATCATCTTCTTTTTCGCTTGGCCATGGCCACGACTGGGCTCCTCCTGCGACCCGCATCGAATTTCATCCACCGCCTCCAGTCTTGCGTCTCCATTTTGTGGCACTCTTGGGTCGGGCTCGGTCTCGGTCTCGGGTCCCCAGATGGAAAACTTTCTCCCTTGGCTCTGGCCAAAAAGAGACGCCAAGCCACGCGACGTGATGAGATGACAAGCTGATAAAAGAAAGAAGCCGAGGGAAGAGGGCAACGGGAGGCGGGTAACGATGAATGGGAGAAGCGGCAACAACAGAAGCATCCATAGCACTTCCATTGCTCATCCAAGATGGCGGCTGGATGATGCTGGAATAGAAACGGATTTCACAACTTGGAGGATACACATTTTATGGTATGGATGTGTACGTCATGTTCCTCGGTTTCCTGAAATATAAATCGGAGATTCGTTTGCCAATCAACAAGGATATGATTAGCAAACTGTTGGGCAAGGTTGAGCGCATGAAATCCTCATGTTTTCTAAGAATAATCATAATTGAAAAATAGTTGATTCGTTTTTGAATTTCCCCCCATTCCCCCTACATCTAATCGATAACCGCGATCAGCGCTACGATAACAGCTGTTGGAGAAGTTGTAGGGTGGACCCTGTTGCACTTGCGATATACTTATGTATGTATATACGTACATATTTTGTTTTTGCGTTGTTTACTTTCAACGAAATTCAATAGCTTGTTCATCATCATCCTCAAGATCTGCTCCGCTCTACCAAATATGAGGGTTACTTTTCGGTTATTTCTACGTCTTCACTTTGTGCGTGGAATGTCCAGGACAGGATGCTCATGCTCTCTCTCGCACACTAACACACAGCCGGACGCTTACACAGCATGGGCTTCGTACGAATAAGGACACAAAAGGAAAAGAGCAGAGCGAGAAAACTCGTTCCACGAAGGAGCAGAGGAAGCGGGGAGGCGGAGGAACGCGATGGGAATGGGAATGGGTCTGGTCCAGGCTGGTGATTATTGCACCTGGTGGCCAGCAGAAATGATGGTAGCAGCGGCGGCAGCTGGTGGACTGCAGCATGGTGCAGCTGCTGTCTCCTCTTTCTTTCTCTTTCCTCCTTCTTCCCCTCTATATACATATGTATATATACATACATATTGATATATTTATATAACATAATATCTGGCCCTTTTGCGACTTTCTAAAATCTCGTCTTCCGATGGGCAATTGTTGCGTGGTATCCTGTAATGAGGATATGAAAACCCAAACTGAAGGAGGAGGACCTTAAAGTTCTGGCCGCTTAAAGTGAGAAATCCTTGCTCTTCCCGACCCTCCTCGTTTTGCCCCATCTCCTCCAAACTCCATCCTCCGACGTGCTTGTATCCAGTTGCAGAACCGAATAAGGAAACATGGCGGCCATAAAGGAAGCAAGGTGTGGGCGAGGTGAATGAACAACATATTATCGGTATCGGAACGGAGTGGAGCGGTGTCCTGAAAGCCAAAATCCTCCAGTGGGAGTGTGAGTTGGCCCAAAAGGATTGAGCTTGGGGGCGAGCCGAGTTATCCGGCATATAAGGATGTCAGAGTACATAAGCTCCGTAACCCGTAGGCGGGGATATATGTACATCTACCCACATACAATTATACATATATACAATTATGTATATAATGCGTGTGCTTAAAGGAGCCGGCGGCGGACTTCAATGCCCGGAGTTTCAATTACAAAAGCACAACAATCCAAACCAAGAGCAACAACTATTTGATTATTAAATTAAACACCACACACTCTCCCACATGCATGCATAACTTAACAAAACGTCAAGACAAGTCAAAAAGACGGAGTGCATAAACAAAACATTTTCACCGTTTGTTTTGATCATTTTCATTCGCCTGCTTCGATTGCTAATTCTCACGTTGCTATCGATATTCAGCAAAGCGACAAAGCTCTGCAGGTATGAGTACTTGGCTGTTTTATAACCAGAACTAGCTAGCAGTTTTTATCTTTAAAAGATCGTAAATTTATATTTTATTAACACTTAGTAATTAAAAATTTGATCACTAAATGTTAGTATAATATATTGTTATATTATTATTTAATTTTCATTTAATAGTACTAGTAATATATGTACCCAAAATTACTTTAGGAAAGTTTAGTACTTTAAGTACAATTGGAAAATTATATAGTTAACAGCGATTTTAAAAGTAAACGATGTGATTAACGCTCCATCCAAAATCCCAATTAGATCGCTTTTAAGCTATAAACTACCGCCAGTGCAAAATCTAGATGTAACTTGGCATCACTGCCAATGCACAATTGCTCCTGCTCCTTCGATAAGCGATTACGATAGATGAGATGCTTCGCTTTGCCGCTGCTGCTATCTTTGATAATTGCAATTTAAGTGATTTAAGTGCCCAACCGGCGGCCAAGATGTTTTGTGCTTGAACCTCAACTTCCACCTCAGCCTCCACTGAACATAACCCGGCAAAGTCGGCCTATGTACCAGAAATTCAGGAATACATAAGAAGGGTCCGCTTACATAGGCTGGCAATTCAAGCGATACACACAGTCGTCGTCGTACACAAACAAACATGCGCACACACTCCTGTTATCAGGCAGCAGGACATTTCATATGATTTGCGCAGTCTTCTGTTTTATGGAGCGGGGAGGGGGCAAGGTGGAAGGGAGGATTGGGTGCCAGTGGGCGGTGTGGGATGCTGCAGCAGTTTTGCATATAATTATAAGCAGGTCATTGACACTAATAGGGTAGCTGGGAGTGCAGTTTGCGGGACTACCTGCATTCTCCGCATCGCTGGACATACACATACACAGGCTACGCCAACTCCCTCCATGAAATGTATCGCCAAAAATCGAAAGAGTGGGTGAAATCCGGGCTAAACATTAAATTGCGAATACTCTGACTTGTTTCAATAATTTCCCATTAAATGATTACTTACCAGAGAAATATATATACACGAATTTAATTTGTGTGTTTCCCCTCTAATTCCAGATCACCGCCCAGGATCGACTGTCGCTGCATATATGCCACGCCTGCATCAGCTACCTTAACTCGTGGCAGAGCTTCAAGAACCGATGTCACAGCTCACAGACAAAGCAGCGCCAGTGGCTGGAGACCAGCAACAAAAGCAAGCTCTTTAACTATCTGGACCTGAACAGTGCCGAAAACGGTGGAGCCTCCTCCGATCATCAGCATCAACAGCATTCGCAGGCGGCGCATCAACCGCAATCGGAGAATGAGCTTGACGCAGAGAAGGCGATGGCACCCGCCACCACGGCCGCCAACATATTGGATGGCATACCATCGCTGAAGAAACGCAAATCCCTAACAGTCTATGTGAGTCCTAAACCGCAACAGCTGCCGCAGCATCAATTGCAGCAGTTACAGCAGCAGCTGCAGCCACCGGCGGCCAGATTGACGTCGACGGCGATCGGCAACAACGCGCAGCAAACGTTGCAGACCCTTCTCCTGCAGGTGCCAGCATCGACGGCGAGCTCCTCTTCCACTATCACCACCACCACTTCTGTATCCCAACAGCGGGAGCAGCAGCATCAGCGCCAGCAGTCGCATCAGTATCGCAGATACCATCACCATCATCATCACCAGCAGCAGCAGCAGCAGCAACATAGTCAGCAGCAGCAACAGCAGCGGAGCAAGCAACACCATCATCAGCAACAGCAGCAGCAACACCGACGCCACCGTCAGTTTCGTCCTCAGAGGCCAACAACGGTGCCGGTACTGAATCCGGCTCCATCGTTGCGCAAATACAAACCCAAACTGTACTTGCCATTGGATATAGCAGTGCCACCACTGCCACCGCTGCCATCAGTTGCTCCGGGATCGATTGCTGCTTCCGCTTCTGCGTCTGCCCCTGCACCTGCTGGCGTTCCTGCTGCTGAACAGCCGCTGCTTTCGGGATTCTCCGGTCTAACCGGAATTGCTGGTGTGGGTGGTGGAATGGAGAGCCTGTCATTGTCGCTGCCACTTGATTTCAGTCAAAGCTGCAGTAGCGGTCACGTCCAACAGACTGGTCTGTTGCCCCTGGCCACGGCCACAGCCACAGCTACGGCAACGTCCACGTCCAATCCTACGGGCATCGCGTCAGCCACTGCCACTTCTGGCACTGGCTCTGCATCTGCAACAGCATCCGTGTCCACGGCTCCGCTGCTCATGCCGGTGACGCTGCAGAGCGCCGCCCAGCAGCTGCGCTTTTTCAGACGCTACTCCTATAATGTAATTGTATCGTGCATTCGAAGCGTGAGCCTTCTCCTCCTTCTCCTTCCCCTTCACCCCCAGCGTCCTGATCTTCAGTACCTGTTATCCCGAAATCAAAATTATCCGATATGTAATAGTGTGTGTCTGTGTGGATTTCTGGTCCTTCCCCTAGCTTGCTTTGGTATGAACATGCATAGCTCTGGCTAACGGGTATCAATGGACGTTCGTTAGCGTCCATTTTTGTTTGTTTGCTCTTGATTTATATATATTCTATATATATATGTATATGTAGATTCCCAACTAATCTTGGCCTGTGCGCAATGTCCTTTGCTTTTACCTCTTGCAGCCGCTGCCAGCGTTGCCCATCAAAGATGAGCCAATTGACACGGACGATGACTACCAGATGAAGATGATAGACGAGTCCGACGACATGGTCGATCCCACAATGTTCCTAGAGCGTTCCGAGCACGAGGGCGATATGCCGTTAATGGTTAGTGTCTAGGATGACTTTCAATTATGGAAAATCAACCTTTCGTTAGATTACTTTTGTAAATAAAAATATATAAATTATATTCTGAAATCCATTATTTCTCCGTTATACGCAGGCCTCGGAATACGACTATACGGCCCAGCATGGCGTTAATGCCCATTCTTTGGCCGCCGGACTGCCACCGAATGCTGTGGCCAATGTGGCCGCCGCCGGGGATTCCAAGGTGGCCAGCTGTCGTGCCTGCAGCCTACAGTTCTCCACCCGAGCGAATGCCCGTCGACATGAACGGAATCTGCACCCGAACCTCTTCCAGCTATCCACGGACTCGCTCCACAATACGTCAGTTACAAAGCCAACGCCAGCCTTGGCCGCCGCATTGGAAATTCAACGGGCGGCAGCTGCAGCGGCCACCGCAGAGGCGAATCGTGCTGTGGGCGCTGCCGGTGGTAATATCACTCCACAGAAATACCGACAGGTGGTGATGAATGCATTCATCAAATGCGAGGGCGGCGGCTATGACTATGACAATCCGGAGCAGTACCGTCCACTGCTCACCCACGACAAGGTGGAGTTCATCGAACAGAACGAGGAGTTTCTCGAGCAGTACCAGACGATGACCTGCCGCTGTTGCAGCAAGTACTTCAGCACGTACAAGAACTTCATGGCGCACGTGCGCAAGAAGTATCCGCTGCTGCCGCGCAATCTATGCTTCAACTGCCTCAAGATGAACGACTCCAAGGCGTTGTTCATCTCGCATCTGAAGAAGCGCAACTGCATAAATCTCTACAGGGTTTTAAATACGCTGCGCGGCAAGACACCAGTGCTACCCATCTCTGCCACGGATGCGGATGCAACTGAGGCTGCTGACGATGGAGTCACAGCCACAGCTGTAGCGGTGGCAGATGCCGCCGGAGCAGGTGCTGTCACAATGGCCAGTCCCACGGTGACCATTAAGGGAGAGACCGCCGCTACACCCGGTGAACGTCCAGAGAAGCTGCGCGCCAAGGAGCTGCTGGTGAACAAGCTATACGAATGCAAGCTCTGCCCTAAGGGATTCCGCACCAAGCACGAGTTCCGCACCCATGTCTACGACAAGCATGCGGATGTCCAGCGCAAGGACAACAACTCGATACAGTGCAGCTTCTGTGGCCTGGACTTTGCCGATCCGGTGGACAGGCGCCGGCACTACAACAACATGGACTGCATTGTCCGACTGCGCTGCATGACGTGCGATGCCAAGCTGGAGACGCACCAGCGATTCCTCGATCACGTCTACCAGGATCATCTGGGCGGCGTGGGCGGTGGCGCTGGCGGTGCCAGTAGTGATAATGCCTCCACAACGGGCAGCGGCCTAGCGAGGAGCAACAGTATGGAGCATTCGCCGGGCAAAAGGAGTCTGCTGGGTGCCCTGGGCATTGGCGTTGGCTCATCGGCGGAAGAGTCGCGCAGCAGCAGTGTGGCGCCCATGCAAACATCCACGCCCAAGCCAGCGGGAGGAGGTACAGCCACAACGGCCTCCGCGCCCAGTTCATCGAATCGTGGTGATGCGTCAGCACCCAAGTCCCAGTACTTTTCACGAATGCCACAGGTGTGTCCCATTTGCGGACAGCAATACAATAACTACAACAACGTGCTGCGCCACATGGAATCGAAGCATCCAAACAAGCTGCCCGAAACGTACAAGTGCGTACGCTGCGGCCTGGGCTATCCGCGGATCTCCTACCTGCGGGAGCACATGATCAATGTGCATGGCGTGGACAAGAATCGGCACTCGGGCGGCTTCGAGTACATTGTGAATGCTGATGCCGTTAAGCTGGCGGACGGCAGCACGCCGAATGTGTACACGGGTCGCTACGACTACGTGATGAAGGACCTGCTGTCGATAACAAATGGTGGGACCCTCGGTAATTAGGCTTAGTTTGTAGACGTCCCCCGCTCTCTGACTCACTCTCTCTTTCTCTCTATCTGCCTGTTGTGCGTCATATTTTCCTTGTAATATTTCTTGTGGGTTAGCGAGATATGTCGCTATGCCATTTCTTGTTGATCTTTGTTAACCTTTCTAACCGCTTATTTAAGATCTTACCCTAGTTCCATCAGATGCGTAACACCATCACATTTGACTTGCTCATTTTATAGTACTCCTTGAATTATTAACATTTTTCTTGTAATTTGTGTGTATTTAAAAATCATATACGTGAGAAGCTTTGACGCCTTTCGAGCAATGATTTACTTGTCCGCAAGTTCCACTAAACCCTAACCCCTTCTCCTTTTACCATTTTGCAGATGAGGACGATGAGGAGGCAGCGGGTAGCAGCATGGCCAAGAAAATGCGACTCGACGACAGCAGCAACAACAGCAGCTTGGCGGGCGTGGCCAGCCAGCAGCAGAAGGAGTGTCCCATCTGCAATGCTGTGTTCAGCAACAACATTGGCCTCTCCAATCACATGCGCTCCCATTACACAGCCGCCAGTGTGATGACCGCAGCTCTGGCGGCGGCCAATCGCATGACACCCAAATCACTGACCATAACAGCAACACCAGCGACAACGACGGACGCAAGTCCAGAGGCAGAGGCATCGGCCCAGCCAATGACCAGCAGCAATGTTGTGCCACCGGCGATGGCAAATCAAACGCCCCAGGAGCAGGCTGTATTCCGGCGAAGTTTGGATCAGGCGGCCGACCGTCGCTTCCGGCGAATGCGTTGCCGTATTTGCCAGCGGCGCTTCAGCTCAAAGAAGTCCTATCGCTACCACATGCTGACAGACCATCAGGTGCAGAATGTGCAGTTCATCAAATGCAAGTTATGCAACGCGGAGTTCGCCTACGAGAAGGGTCTGAAGGTGCATCTGTTCAAGGTGCATGGACGGGCGATCAAGGATGAGATGATTATCAAGCAGTTTGAGTGCGAGGTCTGCTCGATTGTATACAGCTCGGAGCTGGAGCTGCAGCAGCACAAGCGGAGTGTCCACAAGCTGACCTCGGCATCGGCATCGGTCTCTGCTTCAGCCTCAGCCTCAGCCTTGGCGTCCGCCTCCGCTTCTTTCAAGATGGAGGACGATGTTTTGATGGACGAAGAGGGCAAGTCAACAGCCGATCTGTCCACCCTTTCGGCCAACGCCTCGGGACTGGGAGTGGGCACACCGCTGTACTGGTATCAGTGCAAATACTGCCCCTCCAACTTCAACACCAACAAGAAGCTGGCCATTCACATCAACTCGCATGACGAGTTCGACTCGAATGATTACTCCTGCAAGGATTGTGGCAACGTCTATAGCGGACGCAAGAGTCTATGGGTGAGTGTTTCTTGAATTAAATATAGAAAAAATAAAGGAAAAACAAATTGATTCACTAAAAATCGATGTTATCGAATGAATCGAATAACCAGTTTCATGTGCTTAATCCTTCCTCCCCCATCTTTTCCTCTTGCCACACAGGTGCACCGGTACAAGAAGCATCCCCAGGTGCCCGACCCGGCCGAGTGCTCGCTGTGCCGAAAAATCTTCTTCGATCGCCAAATGCTGGACAATCACACGCCCACCTGCAACCGCAAGCCCATCACCTCGACGGGTGCCCACCAGCAGCAGCAGCAGCAGCAGCTGCAGCAGCAGGATTCATTGCAGCAACAGCAGGCGGCACTGCAAAGGGCCGTTTTCAGGCACAAGACGGGCGACGATGATGACGAGGAGGATGATGGCCAGCAGCAGCAGCAGCTGGAGGAAAGCGATAGCAATGGGGGGGCAACAGCGTCGGCTGCTGCTGCAGCAGTGGCAGCTTCAGCCCAGGCTGCCCTGAAGATACGCATACCGGAAGTGGCCTGTACCATTTGCGGGGCCCGGTTCACCGATCAGGAGCACTTTAGCAAGCACATCCAAAAGCACGAACAGGAGCTGTATGTGGATAATCCGCTGGCGGCGATGTTCGATGATGGGCCGGCGGATGCTGGCCAGTTCCAGGTTGAGCGGCAGAATGAGAATGGGGAATATGCGTGCGATTTGTGCGCCAAGACGTTCCCCCAGGTGATTGCGCTCAAGGTGCATCGCAAGTGGCATTTCAGAGGTGATAGCAAGCAGGTGAGCGTTTTTCGGCTTGTGCAGCGAGGAGGAGGAGAAGGACGATGGGCGACCATGTCGCGCCACCCACTAACAATCTAACTAAACTAATTAATGATGATGCTGATGATGATGATGATGCCTCCGCACCAGTCGCAAAAAACAGATATCAACATCTCCGTCATTGCAAATGGAACTTGAACTAATCTATGTTTTATCTTTTCTTTTTACCTTCCTCTCTCTTTACCCCGTATCCCCCCTCCCCCCACCGTCCTGGAATTCCTGCGATTCTTGCAATCCTTGCAGAACCCCATCGACGGCGAAGCGACACAGTTGACCAACAACAATCACACTACCAGCAACAACAACAACAACAACAGCAGCAACTCGATGCTGCACCTCCGCGAGCTGCATGCAGTGGGCCTGATGCCCAACCAGCAGCAACAGCAGCAGCAGCAGCAGGAACAGCAGAGCCGCAGCAACAACAACAACATGAACCACAGCGGCGGGAGCAGCAGCAGCAAGTCAATGAAGCGGAAGCGTGAGCTTAAATGCGAATACTGCGCCTCCACCTTCATCAGCAACAACAATCTGCGCCGGCACATGTACGAGCTGCACAAGCACGAGGTAAGCAATCTCCCAGAGCCACCAATCATCCAGGTGGACGATCATCTACAGTGCCGTCGCTGTCAGCTCAGTTTCGAAACGAAGGAGCTGTGGATCGAGCACAAGCTGGCCGATGCCAAGGTGGTGCGTCCCTTCTGCCCCTTCCAGTGGGGCTGCGATCTGTGCGGCGAGTATCTGTCGCGAAAGGAGAAGCTAATGAATCACATTAACAATCATCTTAAGGAGGAGGTCATTGTCCCAGTGGCCACCAAGGCGGCCATTAAACGCGAAGCGGCGGCGGCGGCGGCAACGGCAGCGACAGCTGCAAATGCGGCGGAATTAACAGCAGATGAGGAAGTAGATCAAGATCGGGAGAACAAGGCTCGGGACAACAAAGATAAGGCAACGACGGCGGTGGTGGCAGGTGGAAAAAAAGATGAAGAAAGCGATGACCTGGACGAGGAGGATAGCTCCGGCGAGGAGGAGGAAAGTTCAGGCACGGGAGACGATGAGGACGATGAGGAAGATGACTCGGAAGATGACGAGGGCGATGGTGGCGAAGGTGAAGACGAGGAGGGTGTGCAGCCTGGTCAGCTGTTGACTCAACAACAGCAGCAGCCGCAGCAGCAGCAGCACAACCAGGATGACGATGACCTGGTCGAGGAGGTCAATAGCTCGGATGACGAAGATGATGGTGAGGTGGAGAGCGACGACGACGATGTCGGGGAGGATGACGATGAAGGGGATGTTGACGATGAGGATGACGATGTGGAGGAACCGGAACCGGTGGCAGTGGCTCAACCCCTGATGAATGGCAATGGCAAGCCAAAAATGCCGCTACTTATCATGCCCACTTCCGACGACGATGAGGATGTGGATGATGGTGTTATGCCCATCGATGACATTATTGAAGAGGAATTCGATGAAGATGAGGCCGAGCCAGATGCCGATCCCGATCCGGATGTGGATGATGCCATTGAGGAGGTGGATGACGATGATTTGGATGAGGATGGAGATGATGTGGAAATGGAGATGGAGGTGGAGATGGAGGAGGAGGTGGTATCGGCAGCCTCCTCCTCGGAGAGCGAGTCCTCGTCAACGACCACGTCCAATTCGCATTCGCATTCGCATTCACATTCCACGGGTGAGCGGCGTAAGAAGAGGGCTGACGATCAGTTGAATGATCCCAGCTTTACCTGTGATCTATGTCAACTTTGTTTCGATTCCCAGGAGCTACTCCAGAGCCACATCAAAAGCCATTTTCTCAATGGGCCAAAGCTCACAGTGGCAGCAGCAGCAACAGCAGCAGGCAGCAAGGCGGCGTCACTAGCAACCACAACGGCGGCACCACCACCAGTCAAGACGAAGCCTGACTCCAAGTCAGCCCTGCTGGCCAACAACAACAATAAGAGCAGCAAGACTGTTGCAGCTGCAGCTGCCACAATCTGAGTCACATTCATTCACTCATCTCAGACTTAACTCGCAAACCCAAAACTCCTCACTTGAAATGTACAAAGCCACACCGCCATCATCCTCATCATCTCATCATCCGAACCCTAACCAGAGCCAAGAGTAGCAAACGCATTCCATCAGCAGTTCGGCCACGACGATATATGTATAGCACGTGGGTGGCGTGTGTCCTACCTACAATACTTTTTAGCTTGCTTCTAGTCTTAAGAACTTAACACACACACACACACACACACCGATATATATATGCATCATATATATATATTTATCTAAGAACTATATTTTTTTTTTCAATGTTAAACTAGTTCTATTGATCGAAACTAGAAACCAGTGATAAGTCTGGTTTCTGGGGTCGATAAATGGAATACTAAAGTGAACACAAGCTAGAACTAGGGCCAAGTTTAATCTTTAAACTATAATATACGAAAAAAACACACATATTAACCAGATATATATAGTCATATAAGCTATAGTTTAGGTTACCATTACACACATCAATTATTCAAGCTGAATAAAAGTTTCACGAGACGCACCAAAGCCAAGAAGAAGGGGAATCAGCTCAGTTAGACTTAGTAAAAGCCATCAGGATTTTCAAAGTATTTTTCACACACGCGTGACAAGCAAGCACACACACACAAAGGTTTGAAAAACCCAAAGCGATAGATGTATACATCTGATTTTTTTTTTTTTTTTTTGATTTGATTTGATTTTTCTTCTTGTTTTTTGTATTTAAACCTTGGTCTTCCCCCGAAGCATGCCCCCTTTTGGAAACAGTTAAGAACAGGAAACCATTACAATTGATTAGCAAAATCCACAACCAATTATTAGTTCAAGACTTCTGAAATTTTGAAATCTTTTACCTTTACTAGGAATTGCAGTATACCTGGCACACCAGCCACATGTTCCATGACTCTCGTTCGTAATTATGCTGGGGGAGTTCATATTTCGACTTCCAGACCCCCACACACATCGTCTTTTATAACAATTGGCTTTCTCTTTACCTTACTGTATGGCAAGGAAGACCAAGATCAATGCCAACGTAGATGGAAGCTCACTACGGAGAGCCTCCTTCCATTTAGACTGTCGATAGTTACAAGAATATGCAATTTATCTGGCACACCAGCCACATGTTCCATGACTCTCGTTCGTAATTGTGCTGGGGGGAGTTCATATTCCGACTCCCAGACCCACATTTCTTATTGAAACACATCGTCTTCTATAACAACTGGCTTTCTCTTTACCTTACTCTATGGCAAGGAAGACCAAGGTTCATACCATACCAACGTAGATGGAAACTCACTAAGGGAGAGCCTCCTTCCATTTAGACTATCGACACTATCGGCATTATATGTAAAACCTATGCTTAAGAAATCCCTAATATGTATAACTGAAACTGTAGTCTAAAACGTACAAAATAAAATAAAAACAAGAAGTGCATATGTAAGCAAACTTTTGTCCCTCACGCGTTGAAGAATCGAAAAGAAAATAAAAGAAATATAAACCGAAAAAATAGAAAAGACCATTATGTGTTTTTATCTTTGGCGGAATGGAAGAAGTAAGAATGTACAGTGGAAGAATTTACAAAAAAAAAATGTAAAAAAAAAAAAACATTTCTAAAAAATTAAAAAGTACTAATTTAGAGAAATCTATAACAAAGCCAAAAATGCAATAAATTCCATTTAATTTTTGTTATAGGGTTAATAAATATGCATACTGCAATTAAAGGTTTTTTTCCTTATAAAATTTTAAAGAAATTATGTAATTTTTTTTTAAAATATTTTTTGGAAAAATCGAAAACTTAAAAAATACTATAACTATAACTATAAAAACTAAAATAAAAGGTGAAAACCTGGCCAAACATGCTTCAGCATGCACGAAATAAGCTTAAATTTCCAATGTCAGAGTCCCCTGTCCCATAAACAAAGATTCCTGAGGAAACTCGATCTTGTGCTTTGTTTTTATTTCAAAATCTTTTCAGAACATGTACACACATGCTACGTATATACACTTAGTCTTTGCAAAATAGGCTTCATTTGGGTGGTGCAACATTTTTCAACGACTTTACTTCATTACCAAACCCTAATTTCTCTTTCTTGGAGAACAGAGAAATTAAACACACAAAAACCACTGACTTGTCATTACAAAAGGTTTATTAGCGCGTATAAACATAGTAATATATCGGGCAAACGGCACAAAGTGACTCATTACCTGTTTGTCAGTTTGTCTAGCGATGGTGGAAGTTCGTGTACGGCTCTTCCCTGTGGTGTCATGCGCAAGGATACGAGTTATAAGTTAGTAACAAAAAAAATAATCACAAGTCCTGTACTTGGTGCACACGCGGACAACAGAAATGGGGATTAACAGTGGGGGGCACAGCCAGCTCCTGGGGATAACATACGGCGCCGAGCAGGGTCGAGAAGAACACAGGGTGCGAGAGTTGGTCAATAGGGGCTACTTTATGCTGATAGGGCTTAAACAGATGGATTCTACTAAAGCTATATATGTATGTGTGAAGCAGCCGCCAGGAATGCTCTGCCGGGCCTAAGAGTACTGCGTGTGGGGATTCACGTTGATCATCTCCATGTTGCTGCTGGGGGAACAGAAACAGAAACAGAAACGGAAACATTCGATTAGTTCAAGAGCCCTCTTAAAAATGCTTGTCAATCATTTTTGGCCAGTGTGCCCGATAAGCCACAACTACTTAAGCATCATCAATACTTATCGCGCACCGGCAATAGCTTTATTTGGCCATGAGATATGATGATGATGATGGTGGGAGTGGGTGTGGGACTTCGGTTAGGTGATGGTGGCTTCTGGGCTTTTTCTTCCTGACCACTTTTTCCCAGACCTTTTGTTCGGTGGCCCAAGGCTCACGGTTCTACTGCAGTGCGGGGGCAATGGGAACGGAAACAGGAGCAGGATCACAGGAAATGGAATGATGATGATGAGGAGGAGGAGGGGAGCAGGAGGCTAAAATCTGGCTCACCTACGACTGCAGCGCACATGAATAAAGAGCAGGGCCAGGCCCAACGTGATGCAAATGGCGCCAACCACAATGTAGGCGATACCCAGAAAAGGATTCTTGCCACCTAGCACAGAGGTAGTGGACAGGATCATGCGCTTGGTGCCATCAAACGAGACAACCGGATATTCTAAAAACATAAACATACGTTATTTCATAGGTCCAAATCCAAAACTAAAGCCTGACTTACGATACTTGACGTTCAGCGTATAATCACCGGCCTTGAGACCCTTGGCATAGGTGGCTTCCGTTTGGTCCAGCCGACGATAGAGCTTCCTAAAGCTCGGCAAAGCGGCGGTTCGCATCCATACAATCAGATCCTCATTTTGGAATCCATTGTTCTCCGGATTCTCGGGATCCAGATCGGCCAGGCCTTTCTGCCAGAACAAGGGCTTTGCAAAGTCCTGGAGGGAAACGTTAAGGTTGCCCTCCGGATTGCGGAATTTTACCCGCTTATCTGAAGGCCACGCAATGCCCGTCTTGAGCAGCTTGATGTCAGAGCCAGCATGCGACAAAGAAAGCGAGTCTGGAAGGAATCAAAATCTTAGATAGCGTTTTCACATCGATTTAAGGGCAAATCACACCATTGAACAGCGAGTTGGCAATGGCGCCACAGGGAGCAATCGGCTTATTGGTGTCCGGATCGATGGCAAAGGGTGTGCAGTCCGAGCTGGGCGTCTGCGATAGGTGGCCCAGCAGCTGCTCGTCGTCGCGCGACTTCACATAACGCCGATGGTTCTGGTAGTAGTTGGTCAGGCCATAGTACATGTACACCACGCCCTTGAAACAGTGAAGGAAGCAAGGCGTTAACCGGGTTACATGGGGGGGCTTCTTTCCAAACCCAAAACTCACATTGAAATCCTTGGGAAGGGTAAAGTTTATCGCGCAGTTACACTGGCCACCCGGGTTCTTCTCCAAATAATCAGAACAGTTGACGTTTCCGTTTCCGCACCAGGTGTAGTCGATGATATGCTCATTGGCCGTATTCGACAGGTGCAGCAGGACGACTCCGATGGGTATGAAGAGCACTCCGATCACAAAGAACGTGGGCAGGACTGTGCGAGCGGTGAGTACGGGCTGCCAGGCGGGCAGGCGTTGCTGTTTGAAGGCCGAATCTAAGGAAGGATAAGGAGGAGGAGCAGAAGGTTAGCATATGACCTCATATGGCACGGAACGGGGAAGGGAGCGGGAGGTGTGGCGCGCAGGACGGCCCGAAAATCGATTTCACGCACAACCAATAAGCTGAGCAGTGAGTGGACATTAGTCATTCCCTGCCATTCCGATTCCATCGAGGGGCCCCTTATCACGCACAGCAACTTGTTACATGCGCAAGTGTGTGTGGGAGTGCGAGGTGTGGAGTGGCATCGAATTGTGTGTTTTCACCTGAAGGTCGCTTGGACTTCTGCGCTGGAATCTCCTCGTTCTCCGCATGCTGCGTGGACATGACGACGCCTTATCGGTGGCCCCGAACGGGTTAATCTCTGGGAGTTGATGGATAAAACTAACGCACAAACAGAGAGGCTCCCCAGGTGAGTCAGTCACAGTTGGGCCAATCGAATAAAGTAAATACAAGAAATTTTGTGCCACCTAGCGATGGCACCACGCCAGTCATCGATATATGTACATCGATAGCCAAATAAAAAATACACAAATACAACTTTTTTTAATGAATTTTTATATATATAATTTAACTCAAAAAAAAAGTATTTTTTTTTTTAATAATACAAAAGCTTACAGTTTTATAAATACTACAATTTTTAGCTAACTAGCGATGGCACCACAGCAATCATCGATATACATACATCGTTAGACACAAAATGTTTATTCGCATTAATTTTATTTATGAAATATAGTTAACTAAAAGAAAGCACAATAACATTTAATCCAACACAACATTTAGAATTTTTCTTTTGTTACCACAAAAGCCTAAAAATTTATAATCTCTCACCGATTTGCTTTGAAAAATGTGTTAAATTATTGCGATACCCCTCCCAAATTGATAGTTATCTCTAAAAATCTGTTAATATGCTCTAATTTAAATAGGAATGATTTTGTCTATGCCACGACAGGACCATCGATAGACTCGCCCATGCAACCCTGGTTGCGGAGGCGGCGTTTTCGCTGTGTCAAAACAACAGCAGCAGCAGTAGAATTATCAGCACACAGTAAAAGAGGAATACGCAGTGATAACTAGTCCTCCAGATCCAGCCAGAGTTCCCAGTCCCAAGCAGCGCCGTAAGGATCAGTAGCAACATCAGCAGCAGCGGTAGCGGCAGCGGCAGAAGCAATGAAAATCACAGTGACCACCAGCGATGACAAGGTCTTCTGCCTGGACGTGGCCCAAGATCTGGAGCTGGAGAACCTCAAGGCGCTGTGCGCCATGGAGATCGGTGCGGAGGTGTCCCAAATAGCTGTGCTCTTCAACGGACGCGAGCTGACCAACAACAAGCACTCGCTGCAGCAGTGCGGCGTCGGCGATGGCGACTTCATCATGCTGGAGCGACGCAGGAGCGTCAATCGGCCAGGTAAGCCAGCCCACCCGAGGGGAAACTAGCTGAGGGAGAGCAGGGAGGAGGAACTCGGGAGTTTAGTCATAAAGTGGGTCAATTTCTGGCGGGGTTTGGCACCTTGCTGGCCAGCCTTCTCCTGTCTTTCGTGGTGAAATTTGAAATGCGATTCTGGCTTTTGTGACACTTGGTTTTCAAAATTTTCAATTATGTACACACATCAATTGTATGTGCATGTGCATGTGTGTGTGCCCGCATTTTTTCTTAATTTCTTTTTGTTTACTTGTTTTTAATTTTTTTGGAAAAGCAAAGATCTGTGTGGCGCAGTTGCTGGTAAAAATAAACGCGTTGCTTTCTTATTTTTTATTTTTTGCACATTCCAAAATAAGTGAGACACGCTCACGCTCGCACACACACGCACACTGGAACGGCGCGTACTTGAGTGTGTGAGTGTTACGGGTCACGGCGGCGGCGGCGGAGAGGGAGCAAGGCTTATCTGTTACCATTGCAGCGGGAAAGTAAGCGGGAGAGGGAGATACGGCACAGGAAGAGAGGAGGAGGCTAGGAAAGTGGAGAAGAACCAGCAGGTGCTTGTGGTGCTCATGGCGCTCCATTCCATTGACCCCTGTGTGCGTGGTTGGCCTTGTCTATTGGAATGGGATCGTCGTGATATTTTTTATTTTTTTGTACATAGCCTGGTGACTGCATGCAGGTGTGGGCGGCGCCAAGAATTTAAATACCAAACAGTGCACGGAGCATGTACAGATGTATATAAGTATACATATGTAGCTTGGTTATATCCATATTTCACCTTTCATGTAGGACAACAGACTCTATTAACTTGAAATCTTTAAGCTTTAGACCTCAAATAACAACTTAAACATTAGTTTGAAGAATTCTAAATAATGCTTAATTTTTATTTTAGGCAACACCAATCCAACAATGGATTGGACTGGCTTGGACTTTAGCAATATCGCCGTTCCGGGCACAAGCACCGGCGGCAGTCCGCCCACAAGGAGGAGCACCCAGCAGGGAACGCAGCTGCAACAGCAGCAGCAGCAGTTCAGCAGCAATCCCACAGACATCCCGTTGACCGACGAGTTCAATGTCAACTTCGACGACGATCCGGCGGCAGTGCGACAAATGTTCCTGTCCAGTCCCGAGACACTGTCGCTGCTGCGTCAGTATAATCCGCGTCTGGCGGAGGCCATCGATTCCGGCGATCAGGAAACCTTTGCCCGTCTGCTCCGTGAGCATATATCGGAGCGCAAGCGGCGGAATGAGCAGCGGATGCGCATGCTAAACGCCGATCCCTTCGACGAGGAGGCTCAGCGTCTAATTGCCGAGGAGATCAAGCAGAAGAACATTCAGGACAACATGGCGGCAGCCATTGAGTACAATCCGGAAATCTTTGGCACGGTCACCATGCTGTAAGTCTTTTGCTGGGTTCCTAACCGTAGCCACTAAAAGGTAACATTTGCTTGTTGATGCCTTTGCAGTTACATCAATTGCAAGGTGAATGGAATACCGGTGAAGGCCTTTGTGGACTCGGGCGCCCAGACGACAATCATGAGCAAGGACTGTGCCGAACGCTGCCATGTCAATCGGTTAGTGGACACGCGCTGGAACGGTGTGGCCAAGGGTGTCGGCACACAGCCCATTCTGGGAAGGATTCACATGGTGCAGCTGCAGATCGAGAACGATCACCTCACGTCTAGCTTCACGGTGTTGGGTCATCAGCCCATGGACATGCTGCTGGGTCTGGACATGCTGAAGCGACATCAGGTGAGCCAACGATAAGGTGTGATAAGTGAATATATTATTGATAAATTCCCTATATCCCTGGTAGTGCCTCATCGATTTGCAGCGGAATTTGCTGATTATTGGCACCACCGGAACGACAACGCCGTTTCTGCCGGAAAGCGAACTGCCGGTGGGTGCCCGACTCACGGGAAATTCTGAGGATTCATTCGAGCAACAGGCCATTGCCGATGCCATTGAACAGAGTAAGCGAGAGGGCGGTGGCGGTGGCGGCAGCGGCAGCGGGAACGGGAGCAGTACGAGCGGCAGCGGTCCCAACACCATCCAGCCGCTGGATCGATTCACCGAACAGGACGTCACCGATCTCATGGCCCTGGGCTATCCGCGGAGCGATGTGCTCACCGTACTGCGCATGTGCGGCGGCAATAAGCAGGCGGCCAGCTCCGTGCTGCTCAGCCGGAACGCAGCCGCCTCGGGCGGCGGTCTTAGCTGAACGCGGCTCGATCCTCTGCGTCAGCCTCAGCCACAGCCCCCACCTCAAGCAGCCCCACTCCCCACAGCCAGAAACTGGATTGCAACAGGACGAAACGAAATACTCCGAGCAATACCAAAAAAAAAAAAGAAACATAATATAAAATAATACACAAAACAGAGAAATGAAAGAAACAAATGGAACACACATAACAACAACAAACAAGCAATGAAAACGGAAACGATTACGAAAACAAACCTTTCTTATTTAGTGAAATTTTTGTAAGCTAAAGCCACTTTTTTATATTTACAGATCGTTGTTACGATGTACAATAGCTAATAATTAGGGTGCATTTCCACAGCGGATCATTTTGAGGAGCATATTGATGAGAGAGAAAAAAGTTAAAATGGGCGATTTAATTGAACAAAAATCAGGGACCGTTGCAATTATTTACACAATTTATTCAGCTTTATTCTTTGTTTTCATTTACAAAAGTCAAATATTTTACTTATCCCCGAGCTAATTATATTTTAAGTTGAAAACAGCTATAGAAAAATTGTATATTAAAAGGAAAGTCTATACATACATTGAAAAAAAAAAAAACACTCCTGTTCAAATCTAACAATTTAATTTAATTAGAAAAATATTCTTTCCCCCGAGTTTTATAATCACGAAATCTCAAATAATTGTTGGCGGTCCTGCCAAAAAAAAAAATATATATATATATATTTAAATATAGAGTAAAGACACAAGCAAGGAATCGATGCGAGATAATCGATGGATAACTGGACATTGGACGGAGCAAGTGGTGATGGAACCAAGCCGCATCAACAAAAAGCTGAAGCTGTATTGCGAGGAAACACAAACGAGAAAGGGAAAGAGTACGCCTGACTATTAATATATATAATAATATATATATTAACCATATACACAAACACACATATATATAAACATTATATACAATTTGAGCTAGTATTAAGGCAAAATGTCAAGAAACACTGAAAATTGGGTTCAATAAAAGGTCGAGTATTGTTTTGGATTTGGAAATTAAAGAAAATAAAAACCAGCGCACTGATTTCACATTTTGGGCTCTGCACGTTTCATTTTCACTTTTAATGGAGTTCGTTACGTTTAGTGGTATAATTTATAAAAAGGCTACAACTTCTTTATGGTCACATAATGGGGATTTATTAATATGCAAAAATCGGTTGTAACTGTTGTTGCCGTTGCTGTACTCTAGTCCTCATCCTCCTCGTCATCGTCGTTCTCACCAGCTGCCGCCGCCGATGCCGATCCCTTGTGATTGAACTCCTTCTCTGGATCAAACTGCATGCCCTCCTGATCGGCACCATCCTCCTCGTCATCGTCACCGGCCACCTGGGCGTTCTCGGCCTCGGCCCGCTCCAGGCGACGGGCCAGATCAGCCTCATCGATGGCAGTGACCAGCTTGGGCGCCATGATCACCTTAAACTCGCCCTCGTGCTCAATGATCTTGGCGCGAATATTCTCAATGGCCACCTCCAGAGCCTTCAAGCCGTCTGTCTTCTTTGTGGTGGACGTGGTCATCACATAACTGGGCAGGGAATAACAATCATTAACCGGATTGAATTTCATCATCGTGGCAAAACTTACAGTGGCGGCGCTATCAGATTGATGCGAATGGGCAGCTCCTCGGTGCTCAGCTCCAGGCCCTTGGTGAGCGACGCCTTGACCGCATCGATGCCCTCGTAGCCGTAGCAGGAGCACTCGATGTCCGCACGGATTTTGACCGTGGGCGAGACCAGCTTTCGTTTGATGTTGCTCAGCAGCACCTCCTTGGTCTCCGCGTCCAGATTGCACTCGTCAAAGACGGAGGGGTCCGTCACCGACTGCTTGAAGATGTCGTAGGCCACCGTCTTGCTGTTGTATTTTTTCTCAAAGTACCAGGCGGTCTTTTGGTAGAGCTCCTCCAGCTTCTCGTTGCCCTCGTAGCCAAGGATATCGGCAACGTGTCGCAGCAGCGAATTGATGGCCTTTGCCTTGGCAAACCGCTCCGTGCACTTTTCCACATCTTCGGGCGACACCCGGCGCTTGGACAAATCAATGTAGCCCTTCTCCTTATCCACACGAATGACAACAACCGGCTCGGTCTTGCCCACGCGGATCAGCTTGTTGATGGATCGGATGCGCCGCCGGGACAGCTCAGAGAGCAGGATCATGCCCTCGATGTTGTTGTACTCCAGCAAATGCACGTATGCGCCCATTTCGGCGATGGACAGCACGTTCACCATGACCACATCCTCGATCTCCGGGTACCGCTCGTTGTAGAAGCGCGACGTGAGTGCCATGTTGTATCCGTGACTGTGCTGTGGGATTCCGGGTGGCGAAACGCAACAAAAAGGTAAAATACACTTCACGAAAGAAAAAATTTGGGAAAACGTGTACAATCTCGCAGTGGCGGGTGTAAGAAGAAGAAGAGAAGATATCGGTGTCTATCGATACTACCGGTGGTTTTTTAGGAAGGAAAATTCTGCTATCGATACTAGCAATGTTTTTAGGTGACAGCAGTTAAAACGATAATCGTGAAATTCGTTTGCCCAAATATCGAAATCGCGATGTTTTTATTTGATATTTTTTGATGTTTTCTCCCTGGTCACTCTGAATTTCAAGGTAAAATGTCAAAACCAGGTTTTACATGCTTGGGGTCGAATTCTCGTTTTTGGGGTCGAATTCTCATGTAGAATGTCAAATTCTGGTGTAAGAAGAAGAAGAAGATATCGATGTCTATCGATACTACCGGTGGTTTTTTAGGAAGGAAAATTCTGCTATCGATACTAGCAATGTTTTCAAGTGACAGCGTTAAAAGGATAATCGTGAAATTTGTTTGCCCAAATATCGAAATCGCGATGTTTTTGATATTTTTTGATGTTTTCTCCTTGGTCCCTCTGAATTTCAAGGTAAAATGTCAAAACAAGGTTTTACATGCTTGGGGTCGAATTCTCATGTAGAATGTCAAATGTAAGTATAAAGTCTATACCGACGATCTGGCACTTTTGGTCGCTGGGAGCGAAAAGTCTGGCAACGCTGGTCGCTCGTGCCGCGGCGCTGCCAGACTTTTCGGTCCCAGCTAACAGTGCTGCCAGACTTTTCGGTCCCAGCGACCTGCGCGGCGAATTCGCCGGTGCTGCCCGTCGCTTTTAATTCGCGGTGTGCACACACTGGCTCAGGAACGGAGCATGGGCAGCACTGGCGGCGAATATCGCTGGTATTTCAGACTGCGGCGAATTCGCCCATTTGAAAAAAAACATGGCTGGAAGAGGTGGTTATGAACACGCTAGGTAAATATTATTAAATTATTTTTGCAATTGCACCCACCGGCCGGCGGGGGAGTGCGGAAAGACCAGTGGATGTCATCGCGACGCGTGTGAGTCAATTGTGCCGACGTTGTACCCAAATGTGAAATAATGCACGCGGTTTGGTTTGGGCAAAAAGGCACCCGCACACGCGCACACAAAATACATACATATACATATATATATACGCGTGTACGTGTCGGTCGTTGGTCGCCGCCTTTGTGTGTGCGTGCGTATGTGCTCTAGTGTGCGTGTTTTTTCTACATTCTTTTCCTCCTTTTTCCGTGTGTTTTTTTTTCTTCGCTTTTCGGGAAATGGCGGCGCCGGGGCCGGCAGCATTGGAGCGACCAACCGGCGGAGCAGCATGTGTCCCCCAAAAATAGATCAAGAATCCTCGCAAAAGCGCGCGCTTTTGCCCCTCCATTTGACACCTGTCCCCGTCTCCGTCGCCGTTTCCGTCCCGTGCCGTGCCGTTTGTTGTTGTTTGCTCTGGAGCCGGGATGGATGGGCTGCCGGGGGAGCGGGCCCTGGGTAGCTCCAAGGGTGGCTCGGCCCCAAAAGCCGAAGAAGAAGATGCAGACACACCCCCATTAATTGGATTCAGTAAGGCAACGCGCTCCACCACGAGCATAAACATCAATCGGAAACAATAATATATACACGCAGAAGTCGGGCAACAATAAACAAAATAAAAACCAAAAAAGAAGCCGAGGGAAACGACGGCATCGGATTCGCATTCGCATTCACATTTGAGGAGCATTCGTCAACAAATTAGTTACATTTTAAAGGCCACTGTGCCATGAGGTATGGCTCCTTTGAAATGGGGCTTTAACAGAAAAGTCACCAGTGGAAATACAACTGAATCGAAAAGCGGAAAAGCTGAATGAAAAGTCGGCCTGTTTTGGTGACATCATCCTCTCAATTGTTTGGCCAACGAATCACCCACAAAGCCTGTGAATGAATCCATGCTAGGCACACATCTGTAGCTTTATAAACAGCCCTAAATCACATGTATTTTTTTGTTCCATTTTCAGAGGCGGATTCGGTGGCGACCGGCAGGCAAAGCAGCTGCCACAGGAACCGCCCTTTGTCGCATTCGTCGGCAACCTGCCGCAGGGCCTGGTGCAGGGCGATGTGATCAAAATATTCCAAGACTTTGAGGTGAAGAACGTGCGGCTGGTCAAGGATCGGGAAACGGATCAGTTCAAAGGATTTTGCTATGTGGAATTCGAGACGTTGGACAATCTGGAGCGGGCGCTAGAGTGCGACGGACGGATCAAGCTGGACGATCTATCGGCGCCACTGCGCATTGATATTGCCGATGGTCGGAAAAATAATCGGTATGTAGAAATAACTCTTTTTGGATAATACCCTGAAAATTAATTTGTATGTTTTTTTTTTGTTTTATTTATAATTACAGCCCTGGTGGCGGTATCGGCGGCGGCAATGGTGGCGGAGGCATGAGCCGCGACGGCGGCCGAGACGGTTTCCAGAAGCGCGGCCCGCCCCGCCAAGGGGGCAGCAGTCAGTCCTACAGCAGGGGCGGTCCTGGGACTGGCGGCGGCAACGGCGGCGGTCGCGAAGGCGGCGGCGGATCGGGTAATCGCGGCGATAGTAGAGGTTCGTACAATGATAGTTATGGTGGTCACAATGATAGAAGTCGCGGCAGCGGCGGCGGCAGCGGCGCGGGCTCCGGCGGTGGCATGAATAGAGGATACAATGGTAAAGCATTTTTATCTGCCGTCCAACCAACCAAATCAACCAACCAAGCAACCAATCAACCAACAACACGTAGCTGCATCCCTCGTAGTGCTGCCAAAAAAAACCAAAAACTAAGTAGTTGATTCTGATCCGATTCCGTCTCCGATCCTGACTCTAAAATACTTTCATTCGATTCGGTCGCATGGCAGAGACGACATCCATGCTGTAGTCCTCGAAAGTGATCCCCTAGTCTCCCTCTCACTCTATTTCTCCATTCAACTATCTGTTTGTGTTATTGTCCCCGTTCCAGCTTTTCGGTTTGACTTTTTCCCCGCGGTTCTTCAGGCTGATGTTGAGTTGGTTTTGCTTTGCTTTCCTTTACCAGTTCTTGTGTATTTGGGTTGGAGTATATAAATTCAAAAGCTCTGTAAAGCATAGGGTCCCTGCTTTTAGTAGAAAACTAAACTTAATGGGATTAAGGCTATAAATATATTGTCTGCTGAAAGAAACTCGCCAAAGTATATGATTAATTGCGAGCTTATGTCGTTTCTTAGGCTTTTAAAACGCCATATATCTAGAGCTGGAATAAAAATTGGAAGTCAACTTCGATTACATTGATTGTTTCAATTTTGGTCTATTCCTCGATTCGGTTTTGAAACAATCAATGTACCTAAAATTGAAAATAATCTCTTTTTTTGCCTGCAAAAACCAATGTTATAAATTTATTTATTTTTTGAATTTTTTATTATTTTTTTTAAATATAAAAATAAATTTTTATTTATATATATTTTTTCCATGTAATTGGTCCTTTTTTTCTGTCTTTATTTCAAATAAATAATTGTTTTCGATTTAATCGATGTTCATTTCTAAAAGATCGGATAAAATCGATGTATTGAGTATCGAAAAAATCGATATATATCGATCAGTATTGGTTTTTTCCCAGTTCTACATAAAACTGTAAAAAAAAAACAAAAATACGACATAATCTCAATTGAACTTTATACTAGACAAGTTTATGTCAGCGGAAGTACATATATGTTTTAAATATATATTTTATATAATATAAATATTTATATAATACATATATTTTATATAAAATATTTTCTCAGACTTCCAATTTTTCCTTGTAGTATTTCATGTTTCTTTTCAAGTTTTTCAAAAATGATTTTCTTAAAGTATTTTGTGCTTTAGTTTTATGTAACAATGTACGCCCCTTCCTTTGCAATCGGCCATCCCCAATACCCCCAAGTTAAGCCGTTTTTTATCTGTAGACACTAAGCACTTGCCCCTTTAGATAGATTTGAAATCGACAACCTTTCAACCCCCCCGCACGCTTTGTACCACTTTGAACTGCATTTTAGCTAGCATGCTAAGCCAATACTCTCTAAGCAGGGCCCACATTGGCCAACAGTTGATAATCTCAATTGCTTACCCATTGCAGATCGGCCGGCGAATCGGGGTCGGTACGGCAACTTTAACAACGACGATCGGTTCGAGCGCAATCAGGATCGAGACCGTGGCCAGCGGGAGGGCAGCTATGGCAACCAGTCCCGGGACGGCGATCGTTACAACAACTTCAGCCGGCATCGTGACCGCGAGCGTACCCATTACAATCCCAACCAGCAGAGTGAACGTCCCAGCGGCGGCTTAGGCGGTGGCAGTGGAGGAGGTGGCGGCGGCGGTGGTGGCTCCTCGATGGGCGCCATTGGTGAGTACAAATTAGATACTCTTTTGAATTGGTGAGAGCTGTTATCCTAATCTGTGTTGCATTCTATCCGCACACAGACGACAACGAACGGCCACGCCTGCAGCTGAAGCCACGGACCATTGCCGCGCCGATTAATGCGGTAGCCGAGACTAAGCAATCGGCCTCCATCTTTGGCAATGCCAAGCCACGCGAGGAGAAGTTGAAAGAGCTGCAGCAGAATGGCGATAACTAGAGGTAGCAGGAGGCGGCGGTTCGCAATATAATATGCCTGATATGATATTTTGGTGTGCGAGAAGAGGAGGAGGAGGAGTGGAGATGGAGATGGAGATTGAGATGGAGATGAAGGAGCATCAGCAGGATGCATATATAAACACATACATTAATTTACGCTACATACCTATTATATACGAAAGATATGTACTACATAACAAGCAAGAGCGAAGATGAAACTACAGACAGGCTGGCCTCTGTGTCCTCTGTGTGTCAGTGTCCAGTGTCAGTTAGCAAGCCAACTTAACAGAAGTAGTAGCAGCAGCAGCAGCAAAAGCTAAAGCTAAAGCAAACCGGCAACCCAGCAACCTTTCTTACTTGCAACAACATCAAGAAACAACAACAGCATCCAGATACAACAAACGGAAGGTCTATAAATGTTAGTCTTTAAGCAGCGATAAACTTTAGTCCCGTGCATATGGCCTATATATATGTATATATATATATATTCATACATATATATATATATATATATATATATATATATTCATATATATATATATACACCAACAAAACAAAAACAAAAGCTCTACCATTAAGGCATAAATAGTAAACGAAAAACAAAAAAAAAAGTGAAAGCTAAACTAAAAAACTAGAAAAACAAAGCAAAAAACTCGAAAAAACAAAGCAAAAATCGAAAACAAAAATACTTTTTTGACAAAACGTTCAGCGTAGCAGAAGAAGGAAGGAAGGCAGGCAATTTATACAGTTTATATAGCAAAAAAACAACAAAAACAAAAAAAAAAAACCAAAAAAGAACTAATAACGAAACCAATTATTGAACATATATAGCATAACACCAGCAACAACAACACCAACAACAAATAATAACAACAACAACAACAGAGATCTAGAAACAAACAAAAACGCAGAACACCAACTACTACGTACGTAAAGAAAAAAAAGAGGAAACAAAACAAAAAGATGCAAAGCGAAGAAGTCGTAATGGTTGAAGTTTAATATTAGCAACAACAACAGCAACTTATATATTTACAAATGAGAGACGCAACCACACACATACATAGATCTATATGTAATTGAAGAGCCAGAGTCTAAGTCGCAAAACCATTTTAGTTGTACGATTATAATTCTTTCTATTATGCACATTTTTCTTAAGTTTAACCTGCAATACTGGCACCTATTCGCGTGTACTGTATACTTTCCCGTCTCTTTTTTAATATTAAATATTAATTTCTTATCACTCGTACAGACACACCCACACTAACACACACACACACACAACGGACTTCTTTGTAGATAACAAGTGTATAAATTTAATTGTTGTTGTTTGTTTCGATTTTTCTTTGCATTCAGTACGTAACGTAAGAGCGAAAAGAGAAAGCGTTTTTTCCCCCTATCTTTACCTTTTTACTTTTTTATTGTTTTTCCAAAAGTTATATATCTATACGATTTTTTTTGTAACCCTATTTTTTTATTTGTATCTTGCAAGAGCTGAAAGAAAAACGCGAAAGTTGTAAATTAATTTGAAAATAAAGCAAAAACATTTACATAAGAAACAAAAGTACTACCCTTCTGTTTGGTGTTTTCCTTCGGACTAATTCGGAATTCGTTTCGAAGTGCGGCTCAGCACTTTGTACATAAAACAAACATACATAAATAATCAAATTGCCCTGCCCCGGAGTAAGAATTGTTGTGTTGTCAGTATCCTTTTCCCCCCACATCCCCAAGAAGAAAGAGAAATGAAAAACTTGAATGAAAATGAATATGAAAAACCGACTTGACCGACAAAGCTAAACCAGAGTTAACCGCGCAGCAGAGAAGCAAATAGAATACAAGTGAAAGAGTAACGTGTAACAGTAACAGTTAAAGTAAATATTACGTTTAATATATATACATACATAGAAAGCTAAAGATAAACTTTAACTTTAAACATTTAATTTTTAGCACTAATACCGTAAGCAGTCAAAGATTTACACTAAAGCGAAAAATGGACAAACAATATTTGTAACTCCTCAAAAATAAAACAAACAAAAAAAAAAAAAAAAAAAAAAACACTAAAAATTAAAAAAATACGATCGAGTTGAAACTTACTTATATATGCTGCTCTTAAAAAAAACCTAATTAAGAACTTTGATATGCATTTTAAAACGCCCATAAAGACGAAACAATTGTTTAAATTAAAAAAAAAAAAGTAAAGAAAAACAAAACAAAACCAAAAGCGACACTAAATCGAGAAGAGAATTTATACAAAGCAAGAGTTAGACATTAACTTACATCATAAACAAAACTATATACAAATATAAATAAATATACGCTATGGTTAATGACAAAACTGATCGAGTAAGCCAAGAATAAATAGCAATTCTACTCTTAGCAACCGCAATAATTTAAAACAAAACAAAAGAGTTCTCCGAAATTAGAAAGCCCCGCTAGAAAGGAAAAACAATCGGAGGTCGAGGCAATACATACATTTTTACCAATTCAAAAACACAGCAGCGAGAACCTCAAATGCTAATTTCAAGTAACTTGCATTAACAACAAAGGTTAAAAAAAATATATTTAATAAATTAAAGTCAGATCAATAGACTCAACAACAACAACAACAACAACAACAACAACAACAGAAAAACAACAACAACAACAATGTTTAATTAAGTAAATGATGAACGACGAATGAACGGCCCTAAACAAATTCACAATCCCAATACACAAAACATTATATCGAAATATATAAATATATATATATATATATTTTTTGTTGTTTGAACATTTTGTACGATACGTATATATACATATATATACACATAACTAAATAAATAAATAAAAGAAATTATAATACAATCAATTGCCGTTTATTTAATGAGAGCGGATTCCATTAAGGGCCAGGGAATTATTACTCCAATGTTTCCATGGGGGTATTGTTCATGGTTAAGAGCATACATACCTGAATTTTCGGTTGGAGCTGGTCAGCAAAGTTTGACTATTCCAATGTCTCCATTGGAATTGGTGAATTGGTGAATTGTTGAAGATTTAAGCTAAAGGAGCGTAATTTAGAAATCAAGAAAAACACGAATTGAGTTTCATTTGCATAACAAATTCAATTAAATCTCATTTTATTTCAGTTTTGTTTGTTTGTTTGTTTTTTTTTGTATTTTTTTTTTACAATTTATTAAGCTAAAGTGTGAAAAAATTTCGCTTTTAATTATATATATATATTCCTTTCGTTTTTGTATCGTTTGTTTTTCATTTATTACATTACAATATTATTAGGTTGCCCATTTATTAATTTGATTTATTTTAGTTTGCTCTTTATTATAATTTGTTTTTTGTCGTTATTATTATTATTTTTTTTTTATAAATTATACATAAATTATGCAACTGGCTGGAGAACTAAAAAAGCGTTAATTATTTATATATAATGAAAATAAAAATCGTTTACTTGTTAGCGCGTTTCCTTTGGGCTTTTTCCTTAGCTTTTTGCTTTGTTTATGTTTTAGTTCATATTTTTTACATTTAGATGTTATTGTGCAGTTGTGGTTTTCTTTTTGTTTTTGGGTATGCTTGGTTTTTCTTTTTTAAATATTATTTTATTTTGAATTAACTAATTATAATTCTTTTATTTTGCGTAATAAACTAATTCAGGCGTTTGTTTCTTTTCGTTTTACTTTTATTTTAAATACATTAATCGAATATATCTTTATAAAAACAATTCTTGTCTGTCTGTGTGTGTATTACGAGTGTTTCTGTTTTAGTTTCCGGTTTGTATTTTCCCATTTTTCCGTATTATTTTTAATAAAAATGAATACATACAAAAATTGTTGTTCTTGTGTTTCATTTGTCCCATATAGATTTCCCATACGTTGTTATAAAAAAAATATATATGTATATTTATATTAATATATATATATTATGTGTGTGTGTGTAATGGATTCCTGTGGTGTGGGTAAATACTCGTATCCTGTCGAAAAAAATCGATAATAAGAGGCTAGCTTCAATCGAAAATCGAAGATTGTGCCCACGAAAACATTTATATGTCTGACAGCGATCCTCGTTTGTGATCGTTATACATATTCATATTATCATCAAAAACCACTGAGGTTGTAATATTTTGCAAGATTTAAACAGTATCGCTTATACAGGCTTTAATGTCTCTTTAAAAAAAAAAAGAAAAACAAAATGGACAACAAAATGCAGAGTGTGGGTGTCTATGGTTTTGTTGTATGAGTTGTGTGTTTGTGTGTGTGTGTGTGTCTGTTTGTCAAGCAAATGGACAAAGTGTTATACTACACATACTGTTATACTGCTACATAATTATACTCATATTATCATATATATATATTTGTATATATATATACAGTCAATTTCTTTTTAGTAGAAAAGTGGCGGGTGTCATAATTTTTAGCATTTCTTTTTTTGGTTTTTTCTTGTATATTTGTTTGGTTTTTCTTTTGTTTGTAGCTGCTTTTACTTGATCGCACATATATATTCTTTACATATTCATATGTATATATCTTTTTCATCTTTTAGGGGAGAATCTCTGTGTATATGGGTGTCAGTGTCGGTGTCTGTGTCTGTGTCTGTGTCTGTGACTGTGTCTGGTTGGTTGTCCTAGAGCCATCTGAACCACTAAGAATTTGTAGCCGGGGAAGTTGCTATCAAATAGAGTTGCTCGACAACGGCTGGATCGGGGTGTGAGGGTCCTTCCTGACCAGTGGATCAGGGGGCCCGTACAAAAAAACTAAAGGGGTTGAGCTAATAAACGCATACAAGGATATGAAGAAGCTTGAACACTCTGAGCTCCGGTGCGCCTCTCTAAGCTCCGGTTCTGGGTTGATGAAATGTGTGTCTGTCTGTAGAAGCGAGAGAAAGAGACATAGAGATAGAGAAAGGGGCAGAAGGTGTGGTGTATAGTGTGTGTGTGTGGTGTGTGGTGTGTGTTAGAGTCAGACAGCTAGGCAGATGTAGGCATATGGCAGGCATATATAAAGTCTTTACAAAGACATCATCAGTTGCTTCGGTTTCTCACTAATAATTTACTCAATTTTTGTTGATTTTCGTATTCATTTGCTTAAATTGTATTTTGTATAAAAAAAATATGCTAACGGTGCCTGGTGTCTCCTCTTCAATTTCAATGTCCATCGTTGGATCTCCATCTGATCTGTTATATCGGTTTTTGTTGTTTGATCTAGTTAAGACTTCCTTTAATATGTATATTTAAATGATGCTTCTCTTAGTATAATGTATCCATTGCTAGCTTTGCTTGGTGTATAAATATAAGTACATATTTCAATCATATCTCATTTATAGCTGCTTCATCTCCTCTGTATGTCCTTGTGTGTCCATGTGTGTGTGTGTGTGTGTGTGGGTGGGTGTCTGGGCTTAGCTCTGGATGCATGTAAAAGCAGCTTGGCAATTTGTGATTCTGTTCATACATATATAGCTTGGATGCACTATATCATTATATATATAAATTTTCTTGTTAAATAATTCTCATTTTCTTCAGTCTGTTTTTGGTTTTCTTTTTTTTTGTCGGTTTCGGTTTCTTTTACATGTTTATCGGGCTTCATATATGTATAAACTGCTATTAATTCTTGCTCTCAATATAAATTGCAAATACTTCGCTGGATGGCAACTTTCGTAATTGTGTGTTTGTGTGTGTGTGTGTGTGTGTGTGTCTGGTATTCATTCATATAGGATTATAGGCTTGGCTTGGTATCCTAATCTCTGCTGCTTGTCGTCTGTGTGAGTGGGTCCTTGCTGGCTTCTGTTTCTGCTTTAGCTTTCTGCTTCTCTACCTGCTCCTGTCTGTTGTGCTTTGTGGTGAGGGGGGTGGTGGGTGGTGGTGGGTGGTGGCACTGCAACCGATAAGACTGGAACTAAGGATAGCTAACCATTGATCTAGGGATATACTAGGAGTAAACGTATACGTAGACGGGAATGCTTGAATGTGGTGTGTGTGGAGTGTGTGTGTGTGTTATGTTCGTATATGCACCCTATATGCCTTACTAAAGATTTAGAATTTTTTATGTAGAATATCTAATTGCAATAATTGTTCTTATTTCTTGGTTTCGTCTCCTCCTTCTCCTTCTGTATTTGAATTTTTATTAGCTATGCATAATAACTGGCTGTTTTACATTTAAATGTTTTTTGTTTTTTTTACAGTTCATTTTTGTTTGTTTTTTTTTTTTTTTTGTAATTTTTTTAGATTTTCCTGGTTCGCTATTTTTTTTGTTTTTTAATTTACTTCGAATTTCATTTGCTATGCTTCGTTTGATTTGGTTTTTGGTTGGTTTTTGTGTTGTTTTTTTTTTTGTGGTTTTTCGATTTTTTTATTTGTAAAATTTTTTTGGTTTTGCCTTTTTTGTATAATTTTAATTTATAATATATATATTTTCTATTTCCTTTGTGTTTCTCTTTTCTTTTTTTAATGTAATTAACTAGACTTATGTAATATATTACAAATGTACGAGTATAAAGCTAAAGTTTTTGTCCATCTTTTGTTTGGTTTTCTTTCCGTTTTCTTTTCTGGTTTTTCGTTTTTCTCTGCTTCTTTTAATATAG